AGTAGATAAAAATATGTACAAAATCTATTCTGAACACTTAGTAGCCACGCGAGCAAGGGCGTTGGCACCATCCTCATCCATAATAAGGAGATTCATAAGAGAGTACAACCAAACAAAAGTGTGTAAATTTACTATACAATATACAGGGGTTCTTTCTATGTGTAAACTAACTTAGTGAACTCTTGGCGCACGGTGTAGCAAGGAGTTTAACCAGTGAACGTGGACCAGTAACGCAGGACACGGGAGGTTCAGGTAAATTACCACGACCACGACACCGTGCCGTAGTCAGAGCAAGGATCAGTCATGTCCCTGCTGCTGTTCGCATCACTTCTTTCAATCTACCTCAGTGAGTAATTTTTTACCGATACAGAATGTAGACCAGTAATCGTACATTTCAAAGCTAGTATTCTCAATTATTTAACAGTAATCATTAGAAACTAATGCAATTATTGATTTGGCCACTTTCGTCGGTATAGGTACAGCTCTATTAATCTTAAATCTTTACTATCAAAGAAAGAAGACTTTACAGATGTTTTGGGTCGGATGGTAGGCTATCCACAACTAATTTGTGTTGTTGGTAACTGTTCACTTTGAAAATCGCCTACCGTATATACAGTATATAGTTGTTTTGTGACACGAGCAACTCTCTTTACAATTTTAGATCAAACTTCAAAGTGCAATACCAAAGTTTTCTTGTCAAATTGTCCCTGCTAAAGTTTTAACGTGGTAACCCTAAACATGAATCAAATTTTAGATAATTGTAATTAATAAACAAAATCCTTCAAGTAAACGAAATGTTGAATATAGACTTGCAATATGATTGTCACGATTGAAAGTGACAAGAGTTCATGTTTCATTATGTAAGTGGTCAAAATAAAATATATCGCTTAACAGCAATATACGTCGATGAATTTAAATTGACTCGATAATAAATTATAAGGCTAAGGAATGGAGAAAAACTACTAATACGTTTTCCTTTACACGGAGAATAAACATTTACCAAAAGATTAAACTAACCACTCCTTGTTTGCACTTGACAGTATTTGATCAAATTAAAAACATTTTACGCCGTTAATATTCAGCATCAAAGGGTTGCACTTGAGTAAACAAAATAATTATCCTCATATTTGATTTGAGTAACTGTAGTAAGTCATAATAGGAACATTAGACCATATACACAAATAAACCATAACGACAATCAAAATACGTCCCCGATTGTATGTAGGCCTATGTGTATTATTAAATTATAATTTTTCTTTTCTAGAATGGACCATTGCAGGGTCCGACATTCCTTTGGACCAATGTCTTGGTTCACCTCAAGGGGATGATTTACTAGAGGACGCTATCATCAACTGGACTCATGAAGCATCTGTCTGCAACGGCACAAATGTTACATTTCATCACAGTAAGTAGACTGTCAAGATTATACTTAATTTATTATTATAATTTAAAATACACTTAAACTCGTAAAAGTAGGTCAATCCATGTTTTTTGCGTGTTGAGTCTATCAGTTTAGAAACCCTACATTTTTCAGACTGATGTCACAGACCATTGACCAAGCAGACTGTGTCAATTAATCAGGATATATCAGGATCATCAGCAATATCGGACCTATTTTGTAACGCTGTAGCCCGTTCATTTAGTTTACTCTACTACATCTAGTTAGTAATTAATTAATTGTGTAACTCATTTTCTGAGTCTTAGCCAGCCCCATATAGTCGCATAACTGAACCAGACCCTTCTCTCTTGAATTTCAAGGTTTTCCCCTACTGACAGACTAGGGAACACAATTTTTTTCCCTGATCTGTGATATCACATACCTACCCGCTACTTGATCGGAACTGTAAGAACTTGCTTGTACAAAACAGTTATATTTAACATTACCTAACCTACTAGTAACATTATTTTAACTAACATTACATAGTATATAACAGTTGTGTTATATACTTCGACGGCTTTTACAAGTGGATTGTACTGTTACACAATTGATAGCTACTACTGTGTCTATTGTCTACTCTATTGGCCTCCGATCTCTGTCAGTTATCAACCAGTTAATCAATTTAGGAGAGTGCGATACTTGGCATGGGTAATTCAAAATGTTACAAATTTGTATGCAAAGGGAAGAAAGAATGTTGCAGCTTTTGTGAAACGTAAAGCAAAAATCACTGCATCCTTTACAGTGAAATATATAAAAGAGAGAAACATTTGACATCAGTGACACCATGCAACTCGAAACTGGGTTCAGATATTGGTGCGATGCGTATCCGAAGTCAATGATAACACTTAAAAATACGATACCACAAGCCAGTATAAAAAAAAAACCTACCTCACCATTCATTAGGAGACGTCACCATTCCCTCATTTATTTGGTATATTCATAGGCAAGCATGTTTCTTTAAAAACTGTTTTCTCAGCTCGTGTCATTGCAGGATAAATCTACGCATGTTAGAAATAGTTTCCTAAATAAGTGCAGAATCCCTTTGTAAATTAAAATAGGATAAAAGCTCAACACGAAAAATGAATTTGAAATTTTACAAAATCAATCAGGGCCTCATGGGTTGTCATGTTGTTGACAAAATAACAACTAAATGGAAGTAATTATAGTCACATGTTTTATTTACAGCGTGGGGTAAAAGTAGAGAGGCCTGTACATTAAATATTTTTGGTCGAGTTTTCGACCACTGGACGACTTGTAGTCTATATATTAATAGGCAAGCATGTTTCTTTAAAACCTGTTTTCTCATTTCGTGTGCATCGTAGGGAAAATCTAAGATATTTTCCTGTAGGTGTGCAGAATCCCTTTATACAATAAAATAGGCTCAAAAATAAGCACAAAATGGATTTCAAGTCTTAAAATAATTTACAGGTGTCTAATGGGTTGCCGGTGACGAAATAAACAGAAAATCAAAACAAATCGAAGAAATTTCGATTACATGTTTTATTTACATCATTGGTGAAAACACTGAAAATAGATAAGTCTGTACATTAAATAGTTTTGGTCGAGTCTTCGACCACTGGGCGACCTCTAGTGTTATTAAAATAATTTGTTGGATTTTTGTATTCAGCAAATCTATATAATTAATATACCCCTACGCTACATGAAACTTTGTCGGTTGGACTCCTCCACCATTTCTTAACCGATTTTATCCATTGACGTCTCATTGGAAAGAGCGTGTCACGTAGATTTGCAAACTGACCTTAATTTTTTTAAAGTCCCTTGGCCTCTGCCCCAGTGGCTTTGAAAGTTCCCATGTTATCCTTATGAAGAACATAATTGTTTACATTTTGATCAGCTGTATAATTTAATTGCTGTTATTTATTTTTCGATTCAAAGTCTTTTAAACTCATCGGAAATTATGATGACTTTTGTTTGTTTTTAAATAACTACTTTACTTCTTTGCAATTGCTAATTGCTCGATTTCGAGCAACGTGTTTACTAGTCGTTATTATCACATGACGTTTTGTTTTGAGTTTTGCCTCCGCCCTGTCGGCAGCCGCCTCTCTGAAGCCAGCCAGCTCTTGAAGCCAGATCTCTTGCAGCGTCTGCTAATTCCATTTCATTTTCATTTTCATTCTGCTAGTGCATACGCCTTGCTGTTGCTATCTGCCGACTCTTGCGTCTACTTAGGTTCCCTTCCCTTTCCTTCTTTATCGAATATCGTCTGTCTGTCTGTCCCGTCCGTAACTTCAATCTGCTCTGCATCACTGCATCCGCCTCTCTTCTCTGCATATCAGTCATACGCATACGTTCCGTTACCGCTCCGCTCCCAGCTTCACATTCACTCCAAACGTGTTTACCAACGAAACGTTAAATTAGTTTAAGTTTACGAGTTTACGACAACGAGCGCGCCCTGCCCTGGGGCCCTATTTTTGAAATGGTTGACAGTTGAGTCAATCGTCAGCACTCAACTCAACCAACAACATGATTTGGTATTTTTGAAACCCAACAGTTGGGAAGCGAGTTGGGAATCACTAGTTGAGAGACTCGTGGTGGAAATGTAGAGCATACGACCGTCAAAAATTCAGATGACGTCATTTTGAACCAATCACAATGCAGAGTTCTTGCGGACTTCGATTTAACCTCTTCTTACTCTAAAATCTGGCAGCTAATCTCAATCCAATCTGCCATATTTCGAGACACTGAGGTAAACTGTCAACTCCGTTCTTGAGAGATTGAGGTTATAATGGGTTATGTCTTGCTTAATTTAATCTTAGTGATTGCAAAGTACCTTAACTTATATAGGCTAAACTTAAGTATTAAAAATAAATTTTACTATGGATGTTTGTTTTAGGGTGTAGCTAATTATAAGTTTAGGCATAGGCTGCACTTTACTTTAGGTCCTACACTCATCCTAAATACATTATTAATTGCTTTCTTCGTCTCTATTTCGGAACACATCACCTTATTTTAGTTTCCTTCATCGGTTTGTTTTATGTTATTTTTAATTGTTTTTTATTTAGGTTAAAGCGGCCATTTGCCATTGCACTGGAAGCATATCGTAACTTAAATTAATTTGATCCCTTTATTAGGTGAATGGTATTGAAACAAACTATGATATTGTTTCTCTCTACCACAATCTTTAATACCTTAAATCATAGGTCTAATAACAATAATTATCTTATAATAAGTTCAATTAGTATGCCTAGTCTATTTCAAACATTCCAACAAGATTAAAACCCTTGATTAAATAGTCTAGTATTGACACAGTAAATAAAATTAAAATGCGATTATTCTACAGAAAACAATCGCATAATTGGGTGCTAATACATTGACAACAAATACATAACCTCTAAATCGCAATTAGTAAATTAAAGCAATAACAAAACAATATGGCGTCGTCTCAAAAAGAGTAATTTTTTGCCGAAAGAGAGGAAGAAGAAAGTGCAGTCAACCTCCACTCAACAGCTCGATAGGTGTTGAGTAGTTTTGGTTGTATAAGTCCACCGTCAACCGTTTCAAAAATACGAAACGATTGGAAATAGAATGACTCGACACTCAACTCAACAGTCAACCATTTCAAAAATAGGGCCCCTGGTTCTGGTTTCATCGCCTCTCCTCACCTCACTTTAAGATTGTTGTGTTGTTGTTCACCGCACCGCCCACCGGTGTTGTTTAGACTAGCTTATTGGTTCAAATTTGCTGTTTTGTTTACTTATATTGAGGTTGTGACTGTTGAGAGTTGTCAAGTTCATATTTTTGAAATCTTACAATGTGTGTGTGGTGATTTGAAGTTCGATTGTTTATGAATTACGTTGGATATGGATACATCCAATAAAATGAACACATTTCAGTTTAGTTCCATTCATTGTCTACTCTTATCGTTGCTGTATTTCTCAGCATGTAACTTACCTGTTATATGTGAGGATGTACAGGATAAACAAGGTAAGGATAAACATACCCTTCGATATATATAAGTCAAGGCTAAGTTATCTTTATAATGTTAAACACAGTAGGCCTATTCAGATTAACCTAACCTAACCAACCAAACTTGCTGATGGTGAAAAATTCGCATGAAGGTTTACTAATCAAATCGATAGTTTCAATCGATATTCGCATAGCCCAGTTAAGAAACTGTACCCTTCAGATTATCCTATTCTAACCTATTTCAGCTTGTCCAGCTTAACAAAATATAGGCAAGTTTTATTCCTACTAGCCAAGACATAGGCTAATTTGTGGGTAGACTTCCGTATCTGTTGGCACAAACAACCGGATGAAGGTATCGATTATTCGATTGTTTCATTCGATATAACTTATTAATCAATTTTTTCATACGGTTGTTTGCGCCAACAGATATGGAAGCCGGTACTTGAAATGTACCCAATCCCTAACTTATGTTCTGATTATGTAAAGTTAGGCTAGTTTAATCATAAACTGTACGACTGGAAATACCGGTACCCATCCGGTAGGCCTGCCGATAATTTTGGTTCAATATTATGATAGAGTTGGTCGGGTAGCCTAAATTTCAACCTGCATAAGGTCAATATTCTCCTTAAAAACTACCGGTACCGTAAGTTAAATCATACACAGCTAACTTAAGTTACAACATGTATAACTGTGTACTTGCTGACAATATTTATTAACTTATTAGCAGAGTAAGTTACCTGTCCTTCATATGGAATCTTACTAACCTAATGTTATAAATCTGAAAGTTTGTGTGTTGCTCAATCACGCATAAACTAAGTTACTGGATGGATTGGGCTGAAATTTGGCATGATGATAGCTCACGTTCCCTATTAACATTTAGGCATATATTCTTATCTCAAAAATCCTTTCGGGCTCCGCCCCAGTGGGTCTGTAGTTCCCCATGTTAACCTTATGAGTATTCATATTTAAAGGGAATTAAAGAATTTAGTCAGTTGTTTCAACTTTACAAGTTGGTTCTATAATATGCAATAGAATTAAAAAGTTATAAGGTTTCCCAACAGGGTGCAGCACTATTATTATTTTGTTTGTGCATAAGTTATATGACAACAGCTAATTTGAACTAAGCAACAAAAAGCTGTGATACGCAATGAAAACTGTCAAAGTAGGATTGTTTACAGTTAGGTTTTGAGTTTTTAATTTAAAGAATAACTAGCTGTGTACCCGTTCTACGCACGGGGATCTTATAATATTCAGTTGAAACCTTCTTATATAACGAACAGCAGTTGGTTTGCATATTTTAAGATATGCTGGCCAAACTATTATACATAGCTTCATTTTATGTTGTTTTTTGTTGTTCCGGATCGGTATGACAATCAATAAAAGGTTAAATTACCTCTGTGTCTGCCGGTCGATCCTATAACGGTAGGCTTACTTTTATTTTTACTATCTGATCTCGTTTGCATGGCTCAATCACGTCCTGGTTGAAGTTCGTTCGCTACGCTCACTCACCTGTATGTTGGAGCTCGTTCGCTGCGCTCACTTTCCTTCAGGTTAGCTCGTTCGCTACGCTCACTTGCCTTCAGGTTAGCTCGTTCGCTACGCTCACTCGCCTCCAGGTTGCAAATTAGCTGTTGTCATAAATGTAAAAGAAATAATAGTGCTAGTGCTGCACCCTGTTGGTAATCCTTGTAACTTTAATGCTATTGAACATCACAGAACAGAACCAACTTGTTTAATTGAAACAGCTGTTAAGATTCAATAATTTCATTTCTCATAAGGTTAACATGGGCTTCCAGAAATTCCACGTCAAAAATCGACAAAAACTTGATTTTCAAGGGTTTACTGTTAAATATCTAACTGTCTCATATTCGATGAAATACGTCTAAAACCATCTCATATATGTATAGTATTTGGAAAATAAGTTTCAGGCGGGACAGTGCTATAGTTATTGAGGAGTAGTTGTAATAAAGTGCGTATTTTAGCGTTACCAAGAGAATGACAGATAGACAGACAGACAGACAGACAGACAGACAGACAGAAATTGAGATAAGGTTTGATTCGGTTTCTCTGACCTATGAAATGTAAAAATAACCAAAAAGTTCATTATTCTAAGCAATGTACAGACAAAACTCTAATTTTATTTATATAGATTTGTGATATATTGTGCGAATGTTTGATAATTTATTTTTTTCTATTGTTTAGGTGCAATGGTAGACAGGGCCGGATCAAGACAATTTTTGAGTGGGGGCAAACTAAAATTTGCCGCCCCTCCCCCCCCCTTGTAGTCTGCTGGGTGGGAAAATAATATATCCCATCTGAAAGCATTCGGAAATAAAGTTTTATTTATCGGTTAAGAAATAGATCAGTCAGTTATAGTTTTGAGGTAGCAAGGCTAATAAACGTTTTTAATGTTCATAAATTGGAAAAACCAATTTTTACTTTCTCCCCTTATACATAGTACAGAACCTATACCGTATGGAGAAAGTATTGTATTATCAAAATCTTCCAGTTTGAGTTTTGAGTAGATGTATCCGTTTTGGGTCTCCCTGAAACAAAAAAGTGGTTTTTGAAGTGATGTGTGTCTGTATGTGTGGATGTGTACAGAGCTACAGACTACACCTGTAGTCTGATTTTGTTGAAATTCGGTATGCAGGTTTAGTAGGTACTGGTACTAACTCATGGTATCTCCAGGCGTTTTTCATGTTTTTGAAATTTAGATTTTTAATGGTGATTTTCCCATCAAACAACAAAAAAAATCACGGTTCAAAAGTTATTGTAACTTAGGCTATGTTATTTTCTCATAAAACCCCCATAAAAAAATCTGATTTTAGGAAAAAGTCGATTTTGATTAAAATTAATGTGTGATGGTCCTTATAATAAAAAAAGGTGCAATCCCCCATTGCTGTAACAAAAGTAGACCTACGGTTCAAAGGTTTTTGCAAGTTTTGTGATTTTCCCCTATAAAATAGCATAGTTGCTCCCTCCTCTTACCAATGATAAAGGTTGTTGACAAGCTTATGGGAGAAAGTATTTGTCAGATTGCTGATATAGGTACCCTACCGTTTATTATCTCATAAATCCCTGTTCCCATAACCCATCAAATTGGGCCAGTGCCTAACAATTCTTTTTTATTACGGTACTGTATGGCTGAACTTGTTACTACAATTAATTAGGGTAGGTACTTAAAAGAACTAAGTTACAAGGAAGCTTTTGGCTTAAATAGGCCTAACAAAAACAAATATAAATCCCTAGGCCTACAGTACTTTTTTCCTACCACTGCATGAAATTGATCACATTGCTACGTACCTGTAAAGGTCGATTCACACACATCAGTTACGACACGTTGCAGTCTAGTCACTTCAGGCACGTCACAGTTAACAAAAATATTCTTTAATGGATTTTCTATTGCGCTATCTACACTCATCCGTTGCAGTTCCGTCCGTCGCTCTGCCAGCGTCCGTCAGTCAATTTCAGATTTCTTTTCGCCGATATTTTTGGATTATTCGGACGCCTGACGGACGTGTTTTAGGTTAGAAAATAGTGTTTAGTTATTTAAATGATTGTGTTGATATTTTGAGTACTGTTTGTAACAATCAACAAGATGGACGATGAAAATTTAATGGAATAGGTATAGGTCTACAATTTAAATTTTTTTTTCTGTAAATTACTGTAAATATTAGAGACGAAAGACTGACTGTAACCAACTGACGGACAGTTCACTGAGAAATTGCGGATGCAACTGAGACTGAACTGTAACTGGACTGTTACTGAACTGATATGTGTGAATCGACCTTAAACAGAATGCAAAATACAGTAGGCCTCACTAGGCGGCGGCACGGCAGTGAGGCAGGGCGGCATGGCGCCTTGACTTGGATGGCGATCAGCTGAAATTGTAAACAAACTTTGCTGTGCTGCTAACTATGCTATTAGGGCTCTCAGTGTTTTCTACTCCGTTGCAATTTATATTGATTGCTATTGTAAAATTATTGTTTGTTTATTACGTTATGCAGTTTTGAAATTACTTAATTGACGTTCCTTATGACATTTGGCTCATTAAAAACTTTTAAAAACTGTATTAAACAAATTTTCTGCAACCAGAAATTTGCCGCCCCTCAACCCTGCCGCCTGGGGCAACCGCCCTTTCCCCCCCCCCCTTGTTCCGGCCCTGATGGTAGAACATTATGGCAATGTTATATGTGTTATACTATAACTTATCATACTGTAAATTATGAACCAAATTTTATCAAACTGTGTCCTCCCCCCATTGCAAACGCAAAGCTTGAGTATAACTGCAATACCGGTAAGCATTTTATACTTAAGCCAACCCCGTACGAAGGACGGGTGCTCTGCTAGTTGGCAAATAAGTATAAATTACTTATTGCAGTTATACTCAAGCTTTGTGTTTGCAATGGGGGAGGTTAGGTTAGCTTACAATAAAGATGGTAAAACAGAACTCACAGTGTGCAGATGCTCTGGACATTGTGCATTTGGTTTAAAAGCGGCTTTGGACGTGGGCAACTGCTGGGTTTTTTAAATGAATAAAGTGTGCAGTTGCACGACGACCGTCCAACTTTTTCTATTTTACACCAAGTAAGTTAGGGGCTGTGTGCGGCCGTACATTTTGCGCTTGTCTAAGGCACTTGTTCACTTTAGGCCCCTATTAGCCGTAAGCAACATGTGGCGCAGCTAGTGGAGCCGCCGGTGGTGACGCCGGTGACCCACAGCGTTTGGAACCTGGACACTAGTCGCGCGACACATTCGTAGCTAGCTCAAACAGCGGAATTCACCACAACACTCTAGTGTCAAACATGACGTTGAGTGACTGCATCCACAATTTGCACGTCACTATTAGCACTTGACATTGTTTATCTAAACTAAAGACAACTAAAAACGCTAATGACACAAAAAGGAAAGAATGCACTGTTAAAAAGGTCACTGGTAAACAAAGGGAACCGAAGTCACTAATGAATATAACAGCAATATGGCGAGGCACGTCTCAATCGACTCAAACCACGATGTATACTGTGTGACAGGCTTCGTTTTCACGTTAATAACGCATGCGAGCGCAGTCAGTGGCGTCGCATGTTGTCCACGGCTAATAGGCTCCATATACTGCAATGCCCCCCGACTGCCTGGACACTAAAACGGTCGCGACACATGTTTTCGGGCAAAATCACTCCCGGCAACACCTCAGGCAGCTTTTTCGGCGGCGCCACCGGTCTTCACGCGGCTAATAGGCACCATTTGACTCCATGCCCCTCTACACGTCTGACACCGGCGGCTCCACTAGCTGCGCCACATGTTGCTCACGACTAATAGGGGCCTTAGGCTACATTCATTCACACAGATTTAGGCTACTTAGTACTTCTGATACCGTTACACAGCTATGATGTTTTTGACTTCTGGGGACATCAAAACGTAAAAGTAAATTGGTCCCAGGTCCAGCCTCTTGGCATGAGATCTTTGGTGGGTAATAGCTTATTCCCTAAATTGGATGTTCCTTAAAAATGAGCTTAGTACGTACCTAACAAAACAAAAACCACAATTTTAGAAAGAACCTTTGAGAGGTCTCAAACGTTTGCATTAGCGAACTTTACCTATTTTTAGTAGGCTAAGTTAGGCATACATAGAAACATGGTCAAAAAATAAAAGATAAACGTCAGCACTAGTTAGTACCGTACTAAATTATCTGCAGTACCATCCTGATAACTTACTTTGACCAATTTGACCAAAAGTGTGGTTTAGATTCTACTAGTTACTTATAAACTGTAGGTCCCTTAGTTACCATTGGCTGTATGGGATTTTAATTTAAAGCTGTGTGTCTAAGAAACATCTCAGCCTTAGTCACTAACAAGACTACAAGATCGCGCCACTCATCCTACACTTATTTCCATTCATACTTGTCTAAAATACCTACATTAGTATGGTTGCCATTTCATAAGAAAGTATTTAAGTTGGCCTATAAAGGATTTACTGTAGAAATCGTAATTTACTGTCAATAAATTAAATAGTCCTAAATAAATAAACTGTATGGTGTTAAAGAAAAAAACTCTTCTTAATCTCATTGTACTTTACAATCTTTTAAAATAAGCATGTACAAGACTGGTCAGTATTTTATCAGATCACCAGTTGACCAATGTTTAGTGAGGCGTGTAAGTGTAGCCAGGCAATCAATCGTAGCAGAACGCTGAGGTTGCAAGTCAATTACATCAGAGTTTCTTGTGATTGTTTCGGTTATCAACATCAACATCCTCCGCTTGGCTGGATGTCCTACTCCCACAGTTCCCTATCACTCGATTGTTGATAGATTACAAATCTGCCACATGATTCTACTATTAAGATTTGAACTTAAAAAATACTGTTTTTTAGGGTTTTTACCTTCTTAAATCATGTCACAGTCTTCTTTGTTATTCCATTACAATTGCAGGCCTAAACTAGGAAGTTTTTCTGTGAAATGCAAAACAAAATGTCTAATGCAACTATTGACTTCATTTTCACCCTAAGTGCTAAGCTTACCGCAATGTATGTCTGTGGTTTCAGGGCAGCATATTGTCTGTTTTAATTTAATATTACTTCAATTAATTCAATAAAATGAGCATGATTAAATGTAATTTTAATATTTGTGTTAGATAATCGTTTAAACTCCGACAGGGTGTCATTTAGGGGCTTAGTAGTCGCAGGGACTTTATACTTTCCTTCTCATGTTATTTTAAACAAAATTATAGTAGGTATAATTATTGTTTAACGCCCTTAAATTTTGCTCCTAAAGTTTGCACTGTAGGCACATGACATCTTCAGTGACTATTAAAAAGTACTACCTTATTCCCATGATTAAATGTCAACCTGTTAGAAAGAATCATTATTTTTTGTTCTATGGTACCTGGTCCAAATCGGACCATTGAGATTTCAGAATGCCATTGGTCATTGCTGACCCATTCTATTCTAGAGCTAAGCAACTGCTCTTTGTCTACTAATATGTATTTTATATTTTCCAGATTTTCTTCTAATAACTGTTGCGACTGAAGAGACTGATGGTTTCAAGCGGTTCATTCGTTCTACTTCGCTTTATGATGTTCCAGTCAAGGTATGAACTGTTAATTGTTTTCTGAAGCCTTTGAATTTGGTAGCTTTTAACATATTTCAAATTATTTAATAGTTAGGAACAGTGGCGGATCCAGAGGGGCGCCCCCCCCCTCGGACATACATATACATATATTTTTTACTGCATGTAATACATTGCGTAAAATAATTTGTCACACTAACTTTGGACAAAGATATGGTATAAAACTGCCGTTTTGGAGACTTAGTTTACACAAATTTCAGGGGTACCCCTGAACCCCCCAGCCAGACCCCTGGTTCGCCACCCCCCCCCCCTTGTGACTGTTCTTGATCCGCCACTGGTTAGGAACCTATGTAGTAGTTTATATTATCATTACAAATTGAGATGGTGAGGCTACCTAGGTGCGTATTAGAACTCAAATATGCGTGGATCGAGATGCCTTGTGTAGGTTTATTAACTGACCAAGATCAGCTGTTTCATTAGCCAGGACCTTTTATTTTTAAAGCCCAATTATCAGGGACAGCTTGGTCCAGTTTCAAACCTTCAAAAAGCTACTGGCTTTTCTCAAGATCGACCCTTTAACCTTTTGATTGTTAGGCAAGCGAGCAGTATAACCACTCAGCTACCCAGCCAGTATAATGACTGTTGACTAACCAAATACAAGATTGTACACATTTTACAGTCAGAGCATCATCCCATACTTGTTAAGAAGAATGTATGGTATGATGTCGTTTGTACGTTAAGCTGAGCAGAGTAGGCACAGAAAAAGTTACATTCTGTCCTCTTACAGTCAGTTATAGTTTTGAATAAACTATTATATTTCAATCAAATCTTATAAAAAGTATAGGATAGTGGAAATTTTACAACACTTTGCTGAACATTGGTGATCTGAATAACCAAAAAATGTTATAAAAGAGATAATATTGTTTATTCTATTGTAAAATAAGACTGTAAGATATAAGAAACCCCAGTAATAAATTAGTTTAAACAAACATTTTATACTATCGCTTCAAAATACAAACTTCAAAACTTTAAACACATTTTAAATTTACTGTTAAATTCTCATAGAATGCTAAGCTAGCCACATCCATCACAGCAAAAGCCAGCTAGTCATATTTACAAAAATTACAATCAACAAACATTTAATTTTTAAAACATGCAGATTACATTATGCATGTTAGAGATGTAAATCCGTGGGATCTGAAGAGCTGAGTCCAGCTGGTGTGGTGAGTCATAATGTTAGTAGCAGATGACATTTATTGGACATGTGTGATATCAGCTCCGCTTCCCCCGAGGTCATTGACTGGCTCAACTGATTGCTAACTTATCAGCTGTTATGGAGCTAAATGATAAAAATGTTTGAAATTTCGGTTATAGTTTTGTTTTTATGGTTGTAATACAGAGTGTTATTTGACGAAAACTTCCATATTCCTAGCACAGAAAACATGCAATTTGTGTCTTTGACAGTAACACTATGGTCAAGTAAACATTCTATTCTTACGTTCAAGTTGTTGCCAGTTTTATAGTTCAGTTGAGTCACAGACGTAGTGTGATGTTGTAAAATATTCAATTTTTTTTTTACACAAACTTCTTAATAGGCTTTATAGTTACAGGAAAGGAGAACTATACTGTGAACTTAACATTTTACGTCAACCAACATAGTATAAAACACGAAAAGTGAAAAAAATCTTTAGAAAGAGAAAACTGTACGAGATGCTAATTTAAAATGTTCCTTTTTAATAAAACTGGCTACAGTTCATGTTGAGAAATGTGTCTTTACTATTCAAAAGTAAATGGCTATAGTAGGTGAGTGCTCTGAGTCGGGAATTGAACATTTTAAGTATTGGACATTTCTGAAGGTACATTAAACAATGCCCTAACTATTTAAAATGCCTAAATAACCTGGCTTTACGAATATGTGAAATATTTCCTCAGGCTACTGCTGAATGTTCTAATTCAATATATAAAAAAATACTTTTGATGTTGATTTATAACTAAAAGAAGTTCTGATCAACTAAAGCAACAGTTTATTTTAATTCAAGGAGTTATAGCCATTTATTATTGTTTATTTAGCCATGATCATATAATTATGTATCGTTACATCCAATTTCTTTTACTTTTTTCATTAAATAAATGTATGTACATCAAACATAGTTGGATTTTACAATATAGATTGCTATTTTGTTCTATTGGTTTCAGTAAAATAATTATCAATCACGATGCCAAGGCCTTATCGATAATTAGGAAAACATGTAAGTTTGTGTGGGGAAGTGTGGATTGTGTGTTGACTTTTGCATTGGGCTTTACATGTAATCGGCTGTTTTTTTTTGACAAAAAATCTGTACAGTATGTACATTATTTTTAAGTGGATGAGAACATGGTTTATAGAGCATTTTCCATACTCCATATTTTTTGTCTACCATTTAGTAGCCTACTGAGAGCCGAAAAGCCATGTACTTCAAGTAGCAGTTTCAGCGATACTAGCCGTCATACGATATTAGAACCTTCAAAACGCTCCTTTACTTTTAAATTTTCTTTCATTTGTTAAAACTAACTACAGTAGACTCTCAGTAATCCGGAAAATTTAGGACTGTGATACTGCCGGATTGGTGAAAATGCCGGATTACTGGAATGTCATCAACAAAAACACTTAAAATGCACAAAACTTGTCTGCAAAGATCGTGCGATCGGAAACCACTATTGCTGCGATCGCGCATGATGTCGATGACGTTTCCGTGACTACTGGAGACGATGATGATGTCTGCACGGCCGCGGGAGAAGATCAGAATTTCGTCGCGATCGCGGAAAACAACGATAATGTCTACATGACCGCGGGAGACGATGATGATGTCTATACGGCCGCAGGAGATAATTAGAATTTTGCCACGATCGCGGAAGACCACTCCTGTCAAAAGACGCCGGATTACTGGAATGCCAGAGTGGAACAGTGCCGGATTATAGAGGGTCTACTGTACAACCTAATATCATAGTCAACAATTAATCAGCTACTGTGAGTAATGTTTAAATATCTTTCAAATAAAAAAAATATACTAGCCTCTTAAAATGATTACTAAACCAAAATAAGGGTGTTAAGTACTCAGAAAACTACATGAACATTATAAGGAATATTTTATTTTATAGGGCCTTAATTAAGCATTGCATTGCTAATCTATTTAACAAATTATTAAGGATGCATAAATGCTTGGGCTCAGACATTTACAAATTCAATGCATTCATCCTGTGCATTTGTCCCGGTGTCAAATACCCAAATTTTACAACAAATGTGTAGAAATTATTTTGTTTAAATTCTTGTTAAAGAGTTATGATATCTTTTGCCAGGGGTCTGTTGGAACCTAGAATGGGTTTTTCATCAATTTTATTTGTGTACATTTACAACCTCTTACAATGGACAATGCCTTTAACTAAACTTCTCCCAAAAATATCACTGAAGAAAAACTTTTTCTAAACAGTAATAGAAATCAACAGACTTGGAATTTAAAAATTTATTTAAAGACCAACAGTGTAAACATCTCACAAAATTAGCAATACTGTCATGATTAATTTAAAGTACATTTTAAATATGTATACTATTTAGGGAGTTTATAATAGAAAAACAAAGTTTTAATCACAAGATAACAATTTTTAAGTAAGAAAACACCACTAGAGACTTAATTAACTTTGAACTCAACAGTTGTGATAAACTCTCACATGCTCAGATTGCTTAAATTATACATTGTAACTGGACCATAAATGATGTTGTCAACAATGTTAATAACATTTACTTTCCTATCTAATCTTTTAGCGAATTTCCCATATAGGGAATAAGCTATTACCGTAGGTCTCATGGTAAGACCTGGACCCGGGACCGATTTCATTTTTTGTTTTGAGGTCCCTAGAGGCCAAAAACACTATCCGTTCAAATTCATATATATATATATATATTTATATATATATTTTTATATATATATTTATATATATATTTTATATATATATTTATATATACAGGGTGTCCGGTCATAAGTGTTAAATAAAAATTTGCATCAAACTACATGGTAATGGCGACATAATGAAGCACATTTGAGGTTCCCAACCTCAACCGTTAGGGGATAACAAATAAATTAAGATTTTTCAAAAATTATTGTAGTTGTTATGAAAAAGGTTATATTACTCTGTTAAAAATGCACTAATTGTTAATTTAAATGTCATTTTCAGAATCCTCACAAACTTTTAAATAGATATAACACATAATCGTTGGGGTACAGAAAAAAATTCTATTTAAATTTCTTCGTTAAACAATTATTTTTAATATCGACGAAAACATAAATAACATTCAGCAATTTATTTCTCGGTTACCGAGTTCCGCTGAGTTAAACAAATATTACTAAAAACTTTCTTATTTAAAGGGCTTTACAATGATGTATAACTACAATTATCTACTGTCAAATCTATGGTGAATTTTACGTACTATTGTGAAAAATCACGGTTGAACCAAAACAGATATTGTAAAAAATAATGAATTTTACTTACTATTTTATGAGCTGACCACTGATGATGAGGGTTTGTGTAATTAATGATTGACCAGACTACACTTTCATCAAACTAAAGAGTTTTTGTTTAGACTTTGGAAAATTTATTATAAAAAAAAACACAATACATTAATAAAAACACACAATACAAATCAAATCTATGACATATCTCGTCCGTAGCACAACTTAAGGTGGAATCACAGTTTGGGTGTAAAGTGCCCTCCGTTTTCCCGCAAGAAGGCCCTAGCTCGCTTGTGAATCGCGCCAACTGTGACCTCGTACGTCAATTTTTCCCTTACTTTCCCAGCAGCCTCAAAGATTCTCTACCGTAACTCAACTGCTGAGTTTACAACAGTCGAGTAAACTAGACTTTACATGTAACCCCGAACAAAAAAATCTAACGGGCTCAAGTCTGGAGATCGAGGAGGCCATGTCACACTTCCTCCACGTCCAATCCATGTCAGGTAGTTTTGGTATAGCCACAACCGAGAGTTAATTGAAATCTTATCTGAAATATGAAAAATATACGATAACCGTAACAATATTACTAATATCACAAACACATTCTGCTACTATATGCTTCTTTTCTTAGCTTAATAGTTATAAAAAAGCGTTGCATGCGAGAAAAAATTCAAGTTATTCGTTACCTGCAGTTAAATGTATTATTCTTCACAATAGCTTTTCTTTGCCCTACCATGTTTTTTCACAACAATGATTGAATTACATTAGGAAATTTGAAACTTGGTAAAACCTATTATACACCATTGTAAAGCCCTTTAAATAAGGAAGTTTTTAGTAATATTGGTTAAACTCAGCGGATCTCGGTAACCGAGAAATAAATCGCTGAATGTTATTTAAATTTTCGTCAGTATTAAAAATAATTGTTTAACGTAGAAATTTAAGTAGAATATTTTTCCGTGCCCCAACGATTATGTGTTATATCTATTTAAAATTTTGTGAGGATTCTGAAAATGACATTTAAATTAACAATTAGTGAATTTTTAACAGAGTAATATAACCTTTTTCATAACAACTACAATAATTTTTGGAAAACCTTAATTTATTTGTTATTCCCTAACGGTTGAGGTTGGGAACCTCAAATGTGCGTCATTATGTCGCCATTACCATGTAGTTTGATGCAAAATTTTATTTAACACTTATGACTGGACACCCTGTATATATATATATATTTATATATATATATAAATAAAATTATTGTATTTATATATGTGTTCGTTAGCGCGATAACTCGAGCAAAAATGATCCGATTTTGATGAAATTTGGTACAAACATGTAAACCTACGTTTATTCTAACGAGTTCGCGATAATCGGACCATGGGAACGGGGGTTTATGGGGGGTTTTATGGGGTAAAAATGGGTTTTTCCCATTTTTGACCCTAAAACAAAAAAAATTGCAATTTCTTTTGAAACCTATTTGTAGAGCTTAAAAAAGAAATAATTTAGTATATTGAAGCGCTCTTGTATGCCAAACGGTCACGGAGATAATTAATTTAAAATTCCCATGTTATTCTTATGGAGAAAATTAAAATTGTTGTGGTTTACTTGTTTATGGATATATATTGATAAAATTTGGCAAATTAATTTTTTTCATCCTATAATATTGACGTATAGTAAAAAAACACTTTTTAGCTTCCCCGTAGCAGGAAACCTAAGCACTTGTTAAATCTAATGTTATTTAAATTGGGAATAATATGTTTTATTTATGGAAATATTTTAGTAAAAATGTAATCAGACAAGGTGAAATTTGTTTTGTCTGCAGGTTTGCTGCGGTGGGGGTATTTTATATTTCAAACATAATACTGCTCATGGATAAAACAAATACCCTTGTAAAATAAATTTATCATTACAACTAGATCAAACCTGACACCAATGCCAAAATGTTTACATCATCCACTACTTATCTAGCAAGTTCTCACCCCTATGCGACAATTAATCTTGTAATAAACACTTAAAAATGTATGTGAGGAACAATCAACTCTTCTGCCTTGTATGAGGTGTGTTGTGTGGTTAGGTTGCATCGGGTGTGTATGTATGAGTGTGGCCTAGGGGGTTTGCAGAAGGCTGGCGATGGTTGTTCATCAGTTCAAGACGGCGATTTATGTTGGGGAAACATTGCTTTCTGGTCTGCTTTTTTAAGACTATAGGGTTTACCATTGTTCCTCATCTAGGTAGTCTTAGAAACGTTTACTTCCAGTCTAACCGTTTGTTCAGTCACACATTTGCAATCTACATGCAAAATTCTTCAAACACCTTTTGTTACTGTCTCAACCAATAAACACTATAGAAAAAAAACTAATCACAGAATTTGAGTGATCATATTTGAATCAGAAAGTGTAAATTTTCCTTAACTTCTTTTTCTGCTACAAGACTAAACGGTAGTACAGTAGAACCTTGATAAGAAGAACCTCATGGGGTCAAATATGACTTGTTATATTGATTGAATTGCAATTTAATAATGCATCGAATCTTGAAACTAATAACTTTAAGAAAGATTGTTACAACTCTATCAAGGTGTTTAATCTAATTTAGCCACACTGACCTTATGATTTTGACATTCTTACTAGTCATAAACCACTAATTCTGACCAAGAGTTGTGAGTCGGTGGCTCAGTTGGTAGCGCCAAAGACTTTGGGCCCAAGGCAGCGATGTAGGTTTGGATCCTGGTACCACAACTTTTTATCAGTTCATTTCACCCATGTACTGTACCCCGGATCACCCCTGCTTTGCTGGATACGTTCCACGCACAGGCCTCTCTGGCTCATGTAGGAAAAAAAAGACGCAACCTCCTAAAAAAATGACAAATTTTATTTATGTGTACAGGTTTTGGGGATGGGAGAGGTGTGGGAGGGAGGAGATATGCAACACCCTGGGGGAGGACATAAGGTGCTGCTGTTGAGAGAGGCTCTCAAACCCCTCGCTCAAGACAAGGAGAAGATCATTATGTTTAGTGACAGGTAAGTGACTGTGAATGGATATTGGGAAATTCTATGTTTTAGTGGTTTTAGCGTTTCAGTTTGGACTTGAGTAAATAAACAATAACAATAACTTGATACCAAGAGACAGATTTACAGTCACGTTTTGTGACAAGCTTAACTCGACTATAGTTTTAGCTTTACAATATGTACAGTTGGCTACATTCTTGTCTCTTGACTGTTGACAGCTATGATGTGGTGCTGCTGGGGCCCGTGGCTGCCATTCTAGAGCAGTTCCGAGCGATGGACGCCAGAGTGGTATTTTCAGCCGAGCCGTTCTGTTGGCCTGACCAGAGGATGGCGGAACAATACCCTGTCACTGAGTCCAGATACAAGTATCTCAATTCTGGAGGTAATCTTCCAGTGTTATTACTGAAAACTCATTACAATTGTCACTTTTGCTGCGACCAGCCCTGATATAGACTTGTGTTGTATGGTTGTCCCCATTGTAGCGAGACCTCAGTACAGTGTTGCTGCCATGGAATGACGTAGATCAAATTTATACAACGCCATCACACCAGAGTGTGTGTATTAATAAAGTATGATTGTTGAATGAATGAGATGACAGCTTTGTTAGCCTACAGAAAAAGATCAGCTCGTTCTTTTGTCAGGACCATTTATTATAAGCCCAATGATAAAGAACAACTGAGTCTAGATTAGCAATCAAGAAGTTACTGCCTTTTCTAGATTAAATCGGTTAAGCCTATGAAAATATTTTAGCTCTTTAAAATTCAACAGTTATGGTATATATTAAGATCCAATGTTTGTAACCTATACAGGATTCATCGGCTACGCCAGTGACATTTACGAGTTATTGTCCTCTCTCAAGCTGAACAGCAAGGATGACGACCAGTTGTACTACACAAGACTGTTCCTAGACAAGGATTTGAGGGAGAAACATCGTATCAAACTCGACTACAACGCTAACATCTTCCAGAACCTAAATGGAGCGATCGGTGAGGAACCTTTGATACATTTGCTTATCCTTTGCATGTCCCTTAAATACTCAATACCTCATTATAATATTTTTTTATAATTCTTTGTGATTTTATGTTAAATAATTATGTCTAACAGATGTAATGTTGTCAGATGATGTTGACATTGTGGAAGACACGTTGGTCAACAAAGTACATAACACCAAGCCACTGGTACTGCACGGTAATGGACCTTCCAAGATACACTTCAACACCTTGACCAACTACTTACCTCGGGGCTGGACTGAGGCTGAGGGATGTGCTACGTGCAAGGAGAACACCATTGACCTCACCAAGGTCACCACATTGTTATAAATAAGTATTGCATTAGAACTTATATATTGTTTTTACTTGAAATGATGCCAAACCCTGTAATGAATGATATTTATGAGTTGTGAGACAGATATAACTTAGTTTTCGTGTTCCGAGAATGGGAATCATAAAACATTTATTCTGTCTTACCAATGGAAATTGTCATGCTATATCACTCCCCAGAAGTTTATTCTTATCTGCCTCTATTTACATCTTGGCTCCAACAGTTAACTTTTGAATATTCGGTCGTTTTTTGTTGATTGAAGGTCGTTACTATGTAATTTCTTATGTTATTAAATGAATAGGCCAACAGACTACTTACAGTTACGGTTGTTTCTCAATAATCCAACAAACTAAGGGACCGAGAGGGTGTCGGCTTACCAAAAAGGTTGGATTATCAAGATTCGTTTTACGTAATGCAGTTGATCAAGATGAAATATAACAATTGATTTCTAAAGCAGTGCCGGTTTTAATAGCTATTAATTGCTTATGACAGTATAACAACTCGAAGTTAAATATTTATTTTGCTGCAAGCTTGTTTTGTTTCTGCTGATAAGACTGTTAGACTACCGAGAACGTTAGATTACAAAGTGTTAGATTTTCAAGGGACAACTGTATTTATAAAACACTAAAATAAAATGAAAGCTGTGTTTTAGAATTGAGTTGAGGTTTTCAATTTCGATTTTAAACACAAGTCCAATTGAGCGAATGTCAAAGTGTTTGCTCTAAAAAGAGGGTTTTTTTTCTTTTAGACTTTTCAATCAGGTCAAACTAAACTAAACTTGTTGTAAACTGTAGCATGTTTTATATCCCCTTTTACATGTCAACGTATACAAATCCGAAAGAGAAAATTTAAGTTCAGTAACATACACTGTGAGAGACCACAGAGAAGTAAGGAACAGAAGATACACTCCGTGGTACACTTAAGTGGTGTCCAGCACTAGTGCTGGTGTCAAGGGCAAAGTTCAACAACCCGTCCTCGTCCTCATTTACTAAAACGCTCATGGTGGACTCTGCTTGCTGTTAGGGCTCTTCCTTTCTTGTCACAAGTATATTTCATAACGTACCAGAGCTGAAAAGAAAGCGCACGGTTCATTTCATTTCATATAACTTTATTCATTAAAGTACAATACATAGATACAGGAATGGCGTCAAGAGTAATTTAATAAAACTAACTAACTAAAATACTCATCATTATCATGCATGGCATAACAACATATCATCAATATTAATAGCTTTTCAGATCAAATAAATTAAAACAAGCAGTGCAATATGAAAGTTTATACATGAAAATATCAAAATTAAAAATATAGATAAAATTATTTTAAAACCAAAAGTTTCAATCGATATGAAACAGAGCAATTAATAACTTACAGAACTAAAACTCTTCAAAGGAGTACATAGCCTTGTTGATAAGAAACTTTTTCAATTTTGATTTAAATTTATTTTTGGAAGTTTCTAATTTGATTTCTTTAGGAAGTTTATTATAAAATTTGGAACCGGCATATTTAGGTGTCTTCGTAAAAAGTTGCAGAGTATGTGAGCTTGTGGCCAGGTTTTCTCGATTTCTAGTGAAGTAATTGTGATAGTCTCCAATAAGTTGTAATTCAATAAATCTGTCTTTTACTGATAATACTGTTTCATAGACATACATTCCATAAACAGTCATAATATTCTCAGTTTTAAAATATTCTTTGACTGAAGTTCTGCGTTTTAAATTGCACAAAATTCTAATAGCTTTCTTTTGCTTTTTTAGAATTGATTTTAATATTTTCTTTTTTGCTGCACCATAAAGTGAAACTCCAAATGATATGATTGAATGTATGTACGAAAAATATATAATTTTTAAAGTTTCCTTTTCACGGTTGTCCCATAGGCATGTTTCCTCAGTACCTTGCTTCTCTGTGGATAAATTGAATAATTCTGTACATGAAAGAAACTACTAATCCATATAGATGCCTAATTGATTTTACATTAACTGTCATCAGTTCCCAAATCCATATAGATGGGATGTCCATTTCAGTATCCAAAGCCAATGGTGGTACACAGAGCTTAGTGAGTGATATAAGATGATCTGTTACAGGTCTCAGAGGCTGACTACCCGATGGTTGTAATTGCGTTGTATGTTGGAATTCCTACTCCATTCCTGAGAGAGTTCTTTGATTCTGTTCTGCAGTTGGACTATCCGAAAAACAAAATCCACTTTTTCCTTTTTAACAATGTAAGTATATAATTTTATATTTATTAACTCGACAATTACAAAACGCATAATCTTTCCAAGCTCATTGTTTTTATTAAATTTATGTGATCAATCAGTCTTATTTGAATGGATTGTGTTGTAAAAATAGATTGTTCAGTAGCTTGGTTTATTTTTCTAAACAGTAAAAGATATAAAGTATATTGACCTGAGTTACTCTATAAAACAGTTAATCTGTACTAAGAGACGCTCTGAAATAAAGGAATTTTTCATTCATTTATTTAAAATTTATTCCATATTATGACAAGCTTTATTAAATTTATATTCAACTTACAACCTTACAAATGGTCGCATCTTATTGATCAAAACCTTATTGTTATAGATAGCCGGTTAGCTTAGGATGAACCTCTTGGCTAAAGGACCCAACAGTACTTTTAATGATTTCATCGTCTCAATAACAGTTCATTTATAGACTTATATTTTTAAGCCGATTTACTCTAAAGTACTCAGTCCCTGTTCCATCTTTTTGTTTCTGTTTTTATCTTGGATATTTTTGGACATTACAAAACTAAACTAAAGAAACAAGTAGATTTTTGTCATAGAATTTAATTCACATTTGAATGATATATTTTTTTACCAGATGAAACATCCGGCAGTCTAACAAAACAACTGACTAGAGGGTATTTTCCTGTAGTTGAATTGCATAACTAGCCAATCTCCAAACACCAAATTTGTGCGCTCTTCTATTGTCTTCACCTCACTGTTGATGTTTGTACAGGTTGAATACCATCAGAGGGAGGTGCTACAGTTCGTAGACAATGTCAATGCACTGGAACAGTACAGAGGAGTGAAGCTACTGCAGCAGCCTAAGGATGGAATCTCTGAAGCTGTTGCTAAAATGTTTGCCAGGTGAATTGTTAAGATATTGATATTCTTTATACTGTCTAGAATTAAAAAAAGGAACAATTATGAATGAAAAAAAATTAAACTGTAAATGGTTCTCAAATGTGTAAAAAATTTTTATAGTTTAAACTGGAAATATTTTTTTTACTCTTTGTTAATATAAATTTATACAATTACATGGAGTTCCAAGAAGTTGTCTCACTGTCACATGTTTTGGCTTGATGTTAATTTTGTGATCTGTATTAAAGTGATCTTTTTTATATCTCACCTTCACATCCTGGGACAAGAGACTTTGGCCCGGAATAGTTTGTTACATCATGTTTCTTAAAGGATGGTGTTTGATAATGGTGTGACAGGCAAAACATGGAACACAAAGTCAATAATTTGGAACTACTGCGAACTGGGGTATCTGTATTAATAAAGAACTTCAAAACAAAGTTTTGGTGCTATAATCATGGGTGTAAAATTTTTTTAACATTTGAACATCAACCACTGAACAACACTGCTAACGACGCATTTCATGAAGTTGAGATTTTGTAGGCTTAACGATGCAAATGACATTCTCTACTGTGTGATATATTTCAAAACACATAGGTTGGCAGCTCTTACAGGCGATTAAATGTGTGGAAAACTGGCTGTGTTAGCATTAGCGTGGCCAGATAGTTTTTATGTTTTCAAAAAATATTTGTTTTGTCACTTTCAACAAGGTTTGGTGGAATATTCATTTATTTTTCACACCTAAGTGTATCTTGTGTAGCTATAACATGGCAGTGAATTTGCTTTCACTAACTGAAGCTACCAAAACATAATAAAAATACTGCCTTCTCTATGTTATAATTCTTACTCACTTTTGATTCCTTAACTCCAGCCCATTGTTATTATAACAACTTGTTCCAGAGAGTACTGCTTTGCCAAAGACTGTGACTATTTACTGGTCCTGGACAGCATTGCTCGCTTGGACAACCCCAACACTCTCAAAGGGCTTATCTCACTTAACAGGTAATTGTAATATATCTTAAGAATATTAATATCCGTTGTATGATTTCCTTGTACATCACGCCACTGTGAATCGTATGATTTTCAATGAATCTCATTGGCTACAAACATCACCTGATCCCCTCTCCACCTACATCACACCACCGTCCATGTACGTCCGTCCCTTCAACAGCCCAGTCTACCTTCAGAATTCGAACCTTAACCACCCGTTTGTAGCCGTGTTTTAAATATGTAAAAATATCGTATTTATTTCAGTCCACTTCCTAAGTCCAATTCAACCCACGAACACAACAGTAATTTAGTAAAATAGAGGCCCTGTGCAGTGCAATACGCTGCAATAATCTTTCATAAAATGTATCAAAGATAGTACTTTAAAAATTAAGCAGAGTTCAATTGTACATCTTAGCTTAGTTTTATGCGAACACACCTCTTCTGTTATTTATTGATCAACTTTAATGTTTGGGGTGTCAAACATTGACTTTTCATATGATAATCAATTACAATAAACATGAAAGCATTTTACTTCAATGTTAAACTGTGAAGATAGATAAACCATCATTGTAGCAAAATTTATAACTATGGTACGCCTGGGTTTACCGATATAGTTGTGCTGTAGACGGTTATTCTAATCAATGGCCAAGCAGTCTATAGCTTTGTCTCCTTTTGCCAGGAAACGGCATTGTAGATAAAGGATTTGTCAAGGAATGTCTCGGTCAGGTCTCGAGGAATTCACCTGTCTCTTAAAGAGCCAAGTGAAAAGACCTACCTAGAAAAATTAGTGTATGGCTCATATGGATGTTATTGGGATGGGTAGTTCTTTGCAGACTGAAGCTTACTGCTAAAACGGCAAAAAGCTACTTTTACTAATCCTTACTATACATCTGTCCACTAAAAATTTTTGTTATATTAGTTTAGATTTTCTGTTCTGTTCTTAATAAGATGGAAAAATCATGATAAAAATATTACCTTACCTAGCTTACCTAGCTGGCCACTCAAACCTAAGCAGGTTTTTGGCCTCTCCAACAGCTCTGCGCCATCTTTCTCGGTCCTTCATCATCTCCTCTGTAACGGACATCCTTCTCATATCCCTCCGGACTTAAAATATTAAAATAAAAATATTAGTATCAGTAATAATCCCTGAAGGTCAAAGAGCTAAACTTTTGTTTACTAAGCTAGTGTATTAAATTGTGTGTTTCCTTGCAGGACTATAGTTGCTCCAATGCTGGTCAGGCCAGGCAAGGCTTGGTCCAACTTCTGGGGAGACCTTTCTGTAGACGGTTTCTACGCTCGGTCATTTGACTACATGGATATCGTCAACAACGACAGAAGGTTAGTGATTAATGACTACTATGTAAAGATACATTCAGTTTGGTTTAAATTATTTTGTGGATAGGGTGTTTGGTTTAAGTGTGTTCCTAGTTGTCTTTGTTTAACGCAATTCCTTTACATCTGTCATCAGTCATGTCTAAACACTTGCGCTCAGTCTGCCAGTTGTGCCAGACTTGCCGTTGATGTAAATAACAAATAATTGTTTCGATATAGCTATCTCTGTCTTGTGGGTAGCTAGCACCCTTTCTCTACATTTAGGCTCGGCTTCTTCCTGCCTAGGAACTATTTTAGTTTCAAAGTTGCTCTCCAGGTATCACCATTCAGCAGACTTAACAACATTTTGTTTAAAAAATCATGTGTCTTTTAGCCATAGCCAGTGCTACAGGCCTTTCAAGGATTCATTTTATTGCCTTTCATTGGGTCAATATAGGACAGTACCACTGGCCATCAGAGTAGCACATTTGTCATTTGGGTTCATAAAAATGGAAATTAAATCAAGTTCACCTTTAATACGGAAATCCTTACAAAATTATTTTTATTCCACTCGTTAAACCTTGCATTGTTTACACTTAAGTAAAACTTACAAACTATAACATAACTATGTATATTTAAATCATTGTTTATGCTGTTGTGAAGTCTGTGAGTGTGTACTTCAGTCGAACGCAATGCTGAAGTCAGTTTTGAAGCTGCGTCTGTCGATGCTGTACATGTTGTCTGCGGAACACTCGTAAAGTCCAGCGTCCATCTGAGTGGCTGGGTCTATCTCCAGCTTAGACTTGACCGTGTCCTTAGATACCGTCCACTCGTGCACCTAGGACAGACATATTTTTTTAATAAGCTCTAGCCTGCATTACTTTTTACATTACTTTAGGCTAGGCCTAAAGATCGCTGCACTATCACTTTGACAAAATCCATTGGTGATTGGCGGGATTTAAACCTTGGGTCTCAGGGACCGAAATCCTAAGCTCTGTTAGACCAGCATGTTCCCGAAAGACGTAATAGGGTAGATGTTGTCCTCTCACCTGACAATCAGACCCTAGTACGAACTTAAATGTGTATCAGAAGTTATTTTGAAAAAATAATATATTTGTTTTAAATTTAAATTACACATAATGTTTGAAAAATTTGTAAACTGTAGAATCAGAGGAGTCATATAGAACACATTGCTAGACACAATTGATTGTTTATTATGTATTTATTTACATGATTTTAGACAAATCACTCATGATATGTCTGATCGAAACGGAGCCGAAATTCTACTATTGCTTGTGTTCCAAGCACTAATGTTTGTTACTTTTGTTAGCTAATGATTTGTGTTCAGTATGTCATTATTCATTGTTAAATATTTTAACAGCGAATTTGGATTGCTAATAGCTATCTCTAACTTGGCTTTCATTTTTTTTTTTTTGGCTTCATTGGCGATTTTTCTTAATTATACTGAACTGTACAGAAATAAAAACTACTATACCGACGGATGTAGTAGATTTGTTTACCAATTGAAGTTATCATAGGATGTAGGTGCGACTTACATGGAGATATAGATGAGAGTAGAGCTCTATTCCATCTTTGAACCATGTGATGTGAGGACGTGGATTCCCCTTGGCGACACACAAAAACGCTATCTTGTGGCCCAACACGTATTCATAATCAAAGTGCGACGCTTGTAGAATCTTTGCGCCCTGCAAGACCGAAAAAATATGGAATCGATTAACGATTTAGAAAACCCAGCGAATGAAAGTATTAAAACCTGTTCACTCCGTTTTAATAGAAATAAAATGTACAATTTCAAAATATTTAAAGCTAATTATTTATATAGATATGTGTTCAACGTCTAACATTAGGGTTATTGCTCTAATTATTTATAATTGCCTATAAATGAACTTTTGTCAATTAATACTTAACTAACTATGGGAAAATTAAAAATCTGATTAAATTTAGATAAGTTAGAATTGTCTTCCATTGGTTTTTCCAACACATTTTTTTACTTTTTGAATTAACATTAAAATTTTAAGAGCTTAACAATCATAAATAAATTGGAGCTGTTATTAAGGTGAGGTACAAGAAGGCTGAAAGTCTCAGTTAGATGTAACTTACGTTGTTGTTGTTGTAATACTGGTCGCTCTCCGGGTCTCGGTATTTTCCGGTAATGGGAAGGCCAATCTGTACTCTGGACTTGGTCCGACTTCTAGATCGTCCTCTCCTGGCGACCACTGGCTCCAGGACACTGGCCACACATAGCAGCAACACCACACCCAACATTTTCATACTTCCACCACCTGGCGTAGCATGACAAACTATGTAAATACCCCATCTCGCTCATTACATTCATGGTTACCGTTAAAATAGTTACAACCTTATCTTAACCCTCCAGTTAAGCTTAGCTCTAGTTAACCCTCCAGCGCCTCGGCTTCAGAGTCCACACATTTATAAAAGCGCGCCGAAATAAGTGAATCCGCGAGCGAATGACATGTCGTGCCATCTACCTTCCCCCACTACCTTTCCCAGGACAATGCGGCAAAGTAATTTCAAACACTGATCCGTGTTAGTTGCCAAACATGTTTATGTTGCTATGTAGAATTTTGGTTGGAGCTCATCTTAATTTGTAAGATTGTCTCGTTATCAAGATCGTTTTCATTGAGGGTCTCATTTTCTAGATCATATTCTAGTATAATTTAATTTTGGTAAATTTTTGTTGACGTTTTGCAACATAGTTCTAATGAAAAATTAGATTGTATCCGTTTTAGTAACTTTAACTTTAGTATTACTAGGCAGATATTGAATAATTGGGGAGCTCAAGTGCAAGATCACCACTTAAAGTGATTACAACTTCAGCAGTTTAACAAAATACATCGTATATTGCATCAGTGACTGGGAGATAGTGAAGGTAGCAGTGATTAAATAGTTTGGTTTGGAAAATGGAAATTACTTAATGGATACTGTGCTATCAAATTGGCTTTTTTGTGGAAACAGTAAAACAAAAATGATTTTACAACTTTCATTAACGGTTTTGTTTGAATCAAACATTTGAGCAATACTGCTGGAACATTTAATCAATGAATTACCTTAAGTGTTTTCTGAAATCCTTTCCAACATGAATTGGTATATCAATCTAAAATTGTACCTGGAATATTCAAGAAGATGTTGCTGGAGTATTGAAGATGTTTTGATTTTTCAAAACGGGATTGTGGAAATAATTTATTTTTTATTTAATGAAAAATATTAAATCATTAGTACAGTAAAACTCCAATTATCCAAACTCCAATTAACCGAATCTCCAATTATCGGAATCGCTTATTTCTACAATTATAAAAACGTAAAGCTACATTAATAAGTTTTGCAAAATATCAAAGAATTGTTATTAAACACAATTAGCCAATTTTGGACTTTGATGGAACACTATTGACTTAATAACATGTATAGAACACTTGTACTATGAGCATTGTAAACTGTAAAAATGTTCTGATTTAAATTATTATTAACTAAAAGTTCACTTAGTACCGAAAATGAGGATTTTTCTTTAAAATTCCTGGAATTCCGGTAAAACTCCGATTATCCGAATTTTCGATTATCCGAATGGGGTCTTCTGGTCCCTATTGATTCGGACAATCGGAGTTCTACTGTAACTTTTTTTTATACATTTAAAACATAAAAAGACATTTTTTAAACTTAATAATAATAATTTAGTTTTATAAGCCTCTTAAGATTTAAGTGTTTTTGTATTCTAAATTTGTCTTGACAATCTTCACTTCTTAAACATGAACACTATATCAATCAAACATAAAAAAACCCAAATTTACAAATCTATAGGCTAATTGCTTGGATATCAGTCAATTAATGCCGGCGGTACTTACCTAGAGAAGGACAGTTCCCGATGAAGAGCCGCCAGCTAATTGTAGTTTGGACGATGGGACCGCGAAGGGTTCTGGCAATTGATCTCCCCTCGGTAATGGAGAGCTTCCTGGTGGTAAATTGTGGGTTCTGCGGTCATAAACAATAACACAGCTGGCTTAGAGCGTATGACCATAGTGGGTGTGACAGATGGTTTCTTTGGCAATCTCCCCTGACAATTGGTGTGAGTCGCACCGTACAATATAACCCCACTAATCCGTCATCTAATAATATGGTTGTCTAAGGAGTTTTTTTATCGTGAAAAATGTTATAGAGCACCTTTGGTAGGATTATTGGTTAATCGGCTGAGGTTGGACGTAGTTGGAAAAATGTCCTGATACCTACTGCAGTATGGTTCAACAAACTCTGCATATTGTGGACTGCAAGGGTGCCAACATGGGTCCGCGGAATTGGCTAACTCTGGAACTCGCTAGCCCCATGTTAAATGCCCTATCTTCAAATTTGGTTGATGAGAGGAACTCGCTAACTTGTTCGGTTTCGGAATTGGCTAACTCCGGAACCCGCTAACCCGCTCTAGAGCCGGGTTAGCGAATTCCGTCCTCGCACGGAAGTCGCTAACTCGGTCCCTCGGCGGAACTCGCTAACTCCCAATCAGAAGCCTCGCGAGCCGTCCAATGGGAGCCAAGCACGAATATTTTTGGCCAGTGTTGCCGAAAGTGTAGTACCTCTATCGTATCGGTACCATAATGTCGTATCCTACGATTAATTAGGAGTAAGAGCAACGTAGTCGATAAAATAAATATATTTAGAAGTATGTTTAACATTATTCCTATGATTATTATTGTGGAAAATGCATTATAGTCTTACCATAGACTAACCAACACAAGTAAACTTGACATCCCATTGTAAACTTTGAAGCTCGTTTTTCGTGTCTAGTTCATGTCCGGTGACACTGATCGCTAGTGTCGACAAAATTGTGTTTCTATTATTTTATGGTTAACTTCATGATTTGTTCATTACTGTTTGGTTATATAACTAGGGGACGTGTTATTGGTTGTGATTAGAACGTTTTATTTGGTTAAACGAGGTTTTAAATTACTAAAAACAAGAAACAATTGTAAACAAAACACGACCTCTAAAGACAGTGCACCGGCCAGAACTAACAATAAAAGTGTCTTCAGCTGATCCATAAGGATGAGAAATGTACTAATATAAGGGAGTATGTTTTATATGTGGGTTTCTTACTTAAATAGTAGCTTATTGGTATGCAAAAAGATAAAAATGCACATTTAATTTGGATCTATTACATGTTATGAAATATCTATTTTCGTAGTCCACCATTTGTTTCTTTTATTCGAATGAATACCATTTTGTAAATTTCTGCAAATAAAATTATTGAGTTCGTATTTTATATACTAGGCTTGTAACCTTGAATCATAAATCATAATAAAATTTACACGTTAAACGTCACTAAAGAATTACATTGTAGTGATAATGTATTTTTAAATAGAGCTATTGAATTTAAATAAATATTTATCAATACATTATAAAGTGGTAGGCCTAATGTATTAATGGATTGCATTAAAAGTTAGTCTATGCATAAATACAACTTGTAAATTTTTTTTATCGTAGGCTATTAGTGTAGACCCGGGGTCATCCTCTTAATTTTGTTGAATTACGTCTTTCAGTAGGCCTACTTTTTAAAAGTCTGGAGTTTGTCTCTAGGCTGATTCTAAATGGACGCAGGCGTTCTTGTTTGTTACAATTCTATTCTATGAATTGGTGGTCATAGCTAAAATTACTTAATGTTATCCAAAAACAAAGCTATTGTCTATTGTGAAGCTCAGTACTGGGGAACGGTGAACCAAGCAATGGCTTGGTATAGTTTATATCGATTGTGAAAGCAATATAAAGGAAACCCAACACTCAAATCAGGAAAATCCGTCAATTCGTTTATTAAGAATCGTGAATTAAAATTACCGTGTAACGTTTTATTAAATGAATATTATATCTTCTACTATTTTTTACTAGTGGTGCTTAGGTGTACAATCTAAAAACGGTTTTATAACATGTAACATACATCTGTTTCCGTGTTTAAGAACTTGCGTTTATTTTAGCTTAGTTTCGTAGAGGATTATTTAGTACCAATTAAACTGAAATTTCAATATTTTTCATATCCCATTATTTTCTGTTATACTGATGGCATTTATATTTAAGATCGAAATCATAAACATTTAACTGGCCATTGTACAGTTTAATAAAAAAAAAACACTTTTTCATGATTTTTTAATTGTCTTTTGAATTACTTTGGGCTAGTTATCTGTTAAAAGTGGAATTGATAACAAAAAACAATAACATTTACTGTATCTTTATTGACACTGACATTTTTAAATACGGCAGTGTACGATTATTTTGTCGTACAAGGTTGGCAACGCTCCGTGCAGTGGGCGCGGCCGGGTTAGCGACTTCCAGAGTTAGCGAATTCCGCCGCGAGACAAAATCGAGTTAGCGGGTTCCGGAGTTAGCCAATTCCTGACTGAGACGGTTAGCCAGTTCCGGAGTTAGCCAGTTCCGACACACGACCGGGTTAGCGAGTTCCTGAGTTAGCCAATTCCTACGTCTCGCCAACATGATGCCAAGTTACTGTGTAACAGGGCCAAACTTGTTGAGACTTGTTATAGTACTTTTTCCTTAAATTTCCCATGTTTAGGTAGATACCACATTTACAACACCATTAAGAGCATATATGTATATAAAATGAAAAAAACATGACTTACTTTTTACAAAGAAATTATAGTTGTGGGACTGACTGATATGACTGGCATGGCTGCAAGGTAGCGCTCTCATCAGATATGCATGACTCTCTTGTTTTGGTTTTAATTTCTGCAAATATCACAAGGTACAAATGGGGAAAAACTCTTTTACTGATGCTACAGAGCTCTGTATTTTGCCATCAGGTGTATAAATAACATCTGTGTAGGGTTTTCTGGAACTTGCATAAAATGTATGGGTTCACGTAAAATTTATGTGTTCACCCATAAATCCGGACCGCCAAGATCCGATAGAGTGCAAAGTTTGCGAGTCTTTTCTCTTATACACCTACAATTTTTGACTAAATGTTAGTAGTATTTCCTTTGCCTTTTTATTTAATAACCTCTTTGGATTACCTGGTATTTTTGGTAATTCGTCTTTCTGAAGTATCAAATGTGCCAACTCAGTGATCTACTCTAGTATAAAGGTCACTGGTTTGATCCTTAGAAAACCACAATCCGTCTGTTGCTTTTGCATGGTTTCAAACTAGACTCAGCTGTTCTTGCTTTTTGGGCTTTTAGTTATAATAAGTGGTACTTGCTATCAAAGCTACATAAGTCACCCCACTCACCCTGCATTCATATTGTGCTTTACATAAGTAGACAAAGAGTTAATGTCTATGTTTTACTGATTAACAATATTTGCAGCTTAAAACATTGTCCTTTGGTAGTTCACATTACAGATCATCTAATGTTCCAAATGGAATAAGGCTACAATTTTATATCCAAACTGAGACACTATAATCTATCCTACATAATGTATTGGGAAAACAATTTTTGAAATGTGTTTGTATAAAGACTTTCATTTATTTTATAGGATGTGTTTGTGCGTTTTCTTTAATAGTTATCGTAAAAATGTGTTTGACAACAGTTTGTTATGAATTTTTCATGATGTTGCATTACAGTTGAATGTGATCAGTAGGTGTACCGATAACACAAAGACTGTTCAGAAAGTAAGGAACGTTTTCTGACGCTGCCAGATGTGTACCAATTGCACTGTTTTAAGAACAGATGTGTTTTTTCTTCAGTGAATTCACAACATTATCGTTATTACAGACACTTTACTTTAGAAATAACATTGCGCTGTTCAATGTCACAAAATTCAATATGTGATGTATACATAAGCAACGTAATGAGTGAAAGTTCGGTCAGCGAATGCCCCAATAATGAATCACCATCTTGATCGTAGGAGTCCAAAAATGCCATAGCTGCCATATTATGATGGTCCAAGTATTTTTAGCACCCATCATATACAAAATTTATTGTAGCCTAGTTTTTTTTTCAAACATCCAAAAACAAAGTCTGTGAAACCTGTAGGAAACAAAGAGAAAGGTCCATTATTGTGAAAAGGCAGTTTTCACAAATCTTCTCATTAACTTCATCAACCAGTTCTAATTGGCTTTCTTTGCTTTTAAAATATGATTCCATACAAATATTTGCAATATTAAACAATGGCTTTGTGCTTTAATTTTTTAAATTTAATATAGCCTATTGTTTTTGATAATAGAAATATGCCCATGATACAGTTTTACTCCGTAGCAAGCAATTCCACTAAGCAAAGAAATAAATTTTAATGGTTTGTAAACAACATTTTCTAACTAAATTATCATACATTATCTGAGCCCCTCTGAATGAAAACCTGCTTTCCTAATAAAAACTGTCAACATCATTTTGCACTGTTTAGATCCAGAAATACCTTTAAGGATAAAAGGGGCTTGTAAATAAAACTCGTAACATACTATAAAAATTGTATTTAACCTATGTACAATTATCAAAACCATTATCATCATGCATACCAAACCTTTACGTGTTTTAGGTTGAATTTTGATTTATTACAATACTCGTATATAACTTATCAAACTATTCAGTCTCTTTGATTTACGATTTATGCGTAACATTATGTATTCTAAAGAACATTATAATTCAACAGTTTAATTATTGTTTAAACTGATTGTAGTCAGTAATTATTATCTCTATGTTTTGTTAACTTAATTTTCTAATCTTTAAAATTAAAATACAACGTTATTTTTCCATACCAACGTTCATTTTTACATTAATTTTCTAATCTTTTAAAATTAAAATACAATGTTATTTTGCTATACCAACGTTCATTTTTACATTGTAAAACAGAATAACTATGTCATATTCACGCTGACAGATAAATATTAGTTTGAAAAAAATTCTAGCGTTTTATTTATTATTTGTCCAAATGGTAACAATAACAACATACAAGTTTGGTATGTAATCGTCAAGGGGAAGGTTCAGTATGTGTAAATAACGTAGTCTGTGCGGAATCCTCTTCTGTCAATGGAGTATTGGTTGTCAGCTTGGCACTCGTAGTATCCTGCGTCCTTTTGCGTTGTAGGATCAATCTCCATCTTGGACTTCATCGTGTCTTCTCCGATTGGCCACTCGTGAACCTGTAACAATATTTTTGAAGATATTGTGAATATGTTTACAGTTTATAAAATGTGTAAAAGTAGTCGTTTAGTTTGCAGCGAGATAGGTTTTGGAACTTCTGTCTATCTAATATTGCCGCTAAAACTTTAAATAGCAAATTAGTTTTTGAAACTTTTTTTACTGTGAATTAATTAATTTGAATTTTAAATAATTCTTGTGTAGCAATAATGCACCAAAATATTAGAGGACTTGCTACAAAGACGAACAGACTACACCATATTCTCAATGACACAAAACCAAGCATTCTAGTCTTGACTGAACACGGACTGAAAAAAACAGAGCTAGAAGCTACAAAAATTCCCGGCTACTCTTTAATTACCCACTTTAGTAGAGAAGAACATAAACTTGGAGGTGTTGCAATATATTCCAAGGAATCCCTTGCTGATACAGTATCAGCTATTAACATATCAAACACATGCCAGGAGTTAATTTTCGAAGCAGCAATGATTCGCATGCAGACAACAAAGAAAAAGGATATCTACATTCTGGGCATCTATAGACCACCAATCGAAAATGCAAGAATTGCCCTTGACCTCCTATCAGACACGCTAGAACTACAAGAAGTACACAAGAAAAACCTCATACTCATCGGTGACATAAATATCGACAGGCTCACTCAAGATTCCAAAAACACCATGCTGGAAGAAGAGTTAACCACACAAAACATCTGGAGATTTCCTCTAGAGGCCACCAGAATAACCCATGACACAGCCACTTCAATAGACTGTATATGCTCAAACATACCATTTGCGTATATTACTGGACAAGTTGTGCATACTGGTCTATCTGACCACACTGCGCAGCTGTGCCTGCTGAAAACACACCAAGAAGACACTTCCCAAAGATTTGTAATGAAAAGAAGCCTAAACAACACAAACCTAAACAATCTAAAGGCTCACCTCCATCTACAAAATTGGGAACATGTTTACTCTTCACCAAATCTTGAAACCTCCTACAACAAATGTCATAATATTCTTCAAACAGCACTGGATTATACATGCCCATTAAAGAAAACTAAAATTAGTACAAACAAAAAACATATGAAGTACTACGATCCTGAAGCAAAATACCTTAAAGAGAACTTTTTGAAAGCTCTGCAAAAGTTTGAGTTAACGAACAGAAATGAAGACAAATTAGAAATGATTAATAGAAAAAGGATATACGACATGAAACTAAGAAACCTAAAAATGTCCTCAACAGCTAGCTTCATAGAACAAGCTGACAACAAACCAAAAGCACTATGGCAAGTTATAAACAAGGAAAGGAAAGGAAAATGTGAAGAGAAAACCCTTACAGAATTAGAAATAAATGGCAAACTCACAAACGACACAAAAGAAATGGCCGAACACTTCAACACATTCTTCTCAAATATAGCAGAAAATACCCTTGACCAAAATAGAGCAATCGTTATAGACCCTGAAACAGTGCTGAATGGAGAAGAACCAGTCTGCCCAATACACCTTACCCTAACTTCAACATCCTATAAAGAAGTTAAAACGATAATAAACTCCCTAAAAGCCAAAACATCAAGTGGAATAGATGAGTTTTCCTCTAAGATGATAAAGCACTGCTCTCAAGAACTCATCTCTCCTCTGGTTTATCTTATAAATAAATCATTTAAAGAAGGCAAATTCCCATCCGCCATAAAAGTCAGTAAAATATACCCCAAACATAAAAAAGGACCAACTGAAAATGCTCAAAACTACAGGCCCATCTCTCTCATCTCCAGTTTCTCTAAAATCATAGAAAAAATTGCTCTGGCTAGATTAATGGCACATCTTAATCATAACAAACTCTTAACTGACAGCCAACATGGCTTTCGGAAGAATAAATCTACATCCTCAGCTATAACAGCACTAATTGAGTACGTCCTAGACCAGATAGAAAACGAACAATACATTTCCGCCATCTTCCTTGATTACAGTAAGGCTTTTGACTGCCTGGGCCACGACCTGATATGCAAGAAACTCGAAAGACTCGGTATAAGAAATTCTGCGCTAGAATGGTTCAAAAGCTACCTAACGGGACGTTCACAAGTCGTGGAACTGCAAAACTCATCAAATGAAGTCACAGAAAGTTTCAAATCTTCAAAAAGCAAGCTGACGAGAGGAGTTCCACAAGGCTCTGTATTAGGCCCGATTCTATTCATCTTATTGACTAATGACTTCCCCAAACAAATTGAGAGTGAAAATGCTGTTGCAATCATGTATGCAGATGACACAACCATTTTGATCAAGGACAACACAGCCCAAAACCTTTACCTTAATTCAAAATCGATCCTAAACAAAACTATCCTCTACTCAAAGAACAATGACTTAGCAATAAACCCCACAAAAACTACAACTCTGAATTTCAGTAAGAAAAAAGACATAGTCCCTCAATTAGATGATGTAACAATAGAAAACCACACAAAATTTCTCGGTGTTATCCTTGATAACAAACTAACATGGAAAGAGCACATCAACCACTTAAGCAAAAAAATCAGTACTGGAATATATGTCGTCAGAAGAATAAACTACATAGGCGGACTCTCCGTGGCCAAAACAGCTTACTTCGCACTGGTAGAGTCGCATCTTAGATATGGCTTGACAGTGTGGGGAGGAACTTCAACAAAAAATATGAATCGAATTCTTGTCCTTCAAAAGAAAGCCATAAGAGCCCTCGCCAACCTTGTCCCACCACAGACTTGCAGACTAGCATTCGCAAACCTAGGAATCCTCACAGTGGTGTCTCTCTACATACTTGAAACCATAAAGTATGTGAATGAAATAAACCCCCCAAGAAACCAAGACCTGCACCACTACAACACCCGTCATGGCTCCAAATTTGCACTACCAGTTCACCGAACAACTCTTTGGGAGAAAAAACCTTCCTACACCGGCTGCAAGCTGAGGAACCATCTACCTGACTACCTGAGAGACCTGACTGGCAACAAGCTACACCAGGAGTTGAAGAAGTGGCTAATAGCAAGACCCTTCTACTCAATAAAGGAATTTTATGAAAATTAATATGTACAATTCACTATTGTATTGACACTATTGTAATTCTTGACGAATTAACAATAAAGAATATTGTATTGTATTGTATTGTACTTGAAATGTCTGCATTGTGATGGTGAATTCAATCAAAAAACGTTGTGTAAGTTTGTCCAAGGAACTGGCAACATAACCTAGAAGTAAACAATCCATTTGCATTTTTTCTCAATTAATTTGTAGAGCGAGTAATACAAAAGTTTACATAAAAAACATAAGGTACGCCAAGATTTGGTATAATTTTACTACATAAACTTAGTAAGTAGTAACAAGGCATTATTATAGTTTCATACATGCATTCATTTGATCTAAAACTAGGCAAGTTTACTTTACCACCGTGACAACACTATGTGCTTCGTATATTTTTACACTTCCAAAGTAATAGCAGAACTGGCAAATATGATTCATCTCACCAAGTGAATGTGTATCTGTTAGACCAGACCTCTCTTTTTCTACTCTCCTCAAGCACAAAAGATATCTTATTATTAATCGTCTCCTCCTCCCATTTTCAATATTTCTTCTTTGAACTTGAGGCATTTTCTGTTCTTCCAACAAACTGATTAACTGTTTAACTTGGTCTTAACCTACCGAATTACAAACATCAAAATTTACTCCCAAAAAGCTAATGAGTTTCTTTTTATAAACAGCTGTTTTTGTTTTTAAATTTGTTCTATGTATTTCTTATAGGGGAAAACCCGACCTATGAGAGGGTCCCATGCCCTTAAGAGTAGGAATTTTAAAATTCTAAAACCTTATTGCAAAACTACATATTGTGACGAATCTTTTGGCACCCTGAAGAGTTGAAATTGGTCCACAAATAAGGGAGGAGTTGCGTTAACAAAAAACGGCTTCACGTATTATATATACAGATATAAGATAGATAGATGGATACTGTACATATTTTTTTTCTTATAATGCTGGTTGCAAGTGATATAACAACACTTCAGATTGATATAATGTACAATGTCAAACATGTTACCTGGAAGAACTTGTGTGCGTAAAGCTCAATTCCGTCTTTGAACCATGTAATATGAGGTCTTGGTAGACCTTGTGCCATGCAGAAGAAGGTTATCTTACGTCCCAACATGTAGTCCAACTCAAAGTGTGAGGACTTAACTATCCTGGCTCCCTGAAACCAATCAATTGATTTTGACAAAATGTTGCTTCTTCTTCTTATACGATATATTTTATTATTTTAATTTTAATTAGCCAATACACCAATAAAACTGTCCAAGTATGGTGGTCTACCATATTGGAAAAACAGGTAAACCATTTGTTGAACCTCGTGTGATTTCTAAAGCATCTAGATGAATCATTAATAACTAACAGTAATTCAAACCATGACATTTTTCACCGTATCAGTTGATGCTACATTATGGTTTGGTTGCTTTAAGTATACAGAATTTAAATTTATGTAACTAAGATCCTTACCAGATATATAGTAAGAGTGGTAAATCCTGGTCTTTGGGTGACGACCATGTAGATGAAGACAACGTCTTAGTTGCCAACGTTTCGGATGTGATGCATATGTCCACTTTCATAGCACTAACATTTCTTCACAGCCCGGGAAATCCTCTGTTGTAGGTACATGCACAGGGGCGAGGGTGGGCTGCTCAAGCCTTCCATTGATTCTCTGGGAAGAGAGGGTTGACCTGGGTTTTGTTATAACTACGTTATCGTCGTCTTCATCTACACAGTCATCACCCAAAGTTAGGATTGAAAGCTTTTAGGCATCGACTGTGGAAGCATATCACAAAGAAGTTGTGGATTTACTCACGTCTTTATTCTCATAGTAACTGGCACTGGCTGGATTTCTGTGCTGTATTTGAATTGGCATCCGACTACCATACTGGCCCCGTCTACCTCCCTTGCCCCTCCCCCCACCTCTACCCCCTCCCCCGCCTCTAGCTGCCTCTGACACTGCCACCGCCACTACAAACACCACCATACAAAAGTGCACCTTCACCATCCTGCAATGAACAATGTTCTTTAAATATTAATATGATCAAATACAGTACACATTTTAAAGGAAATCAAAATTACTGATTATGTTTTTGGAGAGGGATATAGAGTTCAGCTAGTTTACCTGAGAAAGCTTAGAGCTAAGGGCTAATAGATGTGACCCAACAAACTCACAACATGAAATGCTGATATTTTTTCCTAATACAGGACTTCTTCAGAGAGAAGGTTAACAAGAAGTTCAGATTTACTTCTCTTTTACCTACTTTTATGAAGAAGTTTTATATTTGGACAAAGTATGAGGGTTATGTTTTGTGTATTTTTACTGTGTAACTATCTATTAGTCCCTGAACTCTTAACTTTCTTAGCTGAAACAGGGGCGGCTCCAGAGGGCAGGCCAGGTAGGCCCACTGTCCAACATTTAGGTGGATATTTAAATTTATAAATAAATAAATAAATTTGTCAAGCGTACCCAAAAAGTTTTTCCTGGAGCCGCCCCTGAGCTGAACTCTTCTCCAAAATATCACAAAACAGTTCACAATAATTCCAAACGTCGATGTAATCAGATGGACAAGATAATGAACAATAAACTCCTTTGCTGGCGTGTTCCATTTGTCAAATACAGTGTTAATCGAAACACAAACCGTGATTCAAATACCTAAGGCTTAAGGTTTAGTTAAACAATACCATGAATTCAAAATCATCATTAATAGACTACTAAATAAATCCCAGGTAAGGTATTTTGCGTGTTCTAGAATAGTAGCACCGTAAGTAAACAAAACAATACAAAAATTAATACACAGATATCTCCCACGGAACGTAAATAAACTAAATATCTGGAATCAAAAGACTTTTCAAAATCCTGAACAAATATAAGTTTAAATTTCTTTTTCTATACTTATTTCTAACACTATAGTCAAGAGGTTGAGATTGTTGTGAGAAAGTATTCAATTTTCTTTCCTCTTGGACATCTTAGTATCTCACAAATGGGAAAGATTAAGCTTTTCTAATCTTTATCACTAATTCTCACCTTATGTAAGTATTGCTGATAGTTGGTAAATCCTACAGCAGCACACTCACTGAATGGTGGATCACAGTATAATTTGTGCCAATATTGGCGTGATGTGACGTGAAGCACGTTGCTCGACGAAGGATGTGCCAATGAGGTGTTACTCCACTCTGATGTTGCCGCCGTCCCCTTCATTGTTTAATCTGATCTAACAAGGTCATAATGGGTCAACAACTGTCGAATTGTCAACTCCCCTTAGATTTATCGCAGCCCTGCTCTCTATATTCTTATGTTGATTGCCGTCCCACTTTGCCTCTCAAGTTGTCCCAAGTGTTCTGTAGGTTAAGGTCAAGGAAGCTTTGCAACTTAGTCTTGTACGGTTTTTGACTTGAACTCTTGCATATCCAGTAAAAAGGAGGAAATGGTTGTTTAACGTACTTCAGAAATATATTCTTTTTCATTAAAGTTGTTTGTCTAAAGACTCCAACCTAAAGATGGAGATTTCTAAATATTTTTCCTACAGTTGCCTGAAAAATTGGACTTCCTTGCCCTGATTATAGCATGCCAAGTAGCTAATTGATGCATTTACTTACTTTTTCCGCACTAATTTTTTTACCGCACTCCAGTATTCCAAACAACACAAAACATCGTGCTTTTATTAGACATGTAATACTTATACGCTTGAAAATAAGTTGGCAACAAGATACTGCAATCAGATGGTGCAGCGTTTTCCATTTCGTTCAACGCTTGGATTTAACCTAACCTAAAAACCTGTTCAATAGTGTTTGAAAGATTAATTATTTATATGCTTTATAGTAACTGTAGGAAAAATATAATGTGTAACGCAAGTGCAAATGCCTTTGCTGCACTCGAGAAACTTTCCACACTCGCCTGCGGCTCGTCCGTAAACATTTCTCTCGTGTGTAGCAAAGTGATACTTCGCACACTAGCTACTCAAATAACTAGTTCAACATTGGATACAAGATTTAGCATTCATAACTTGTGGATGGGATTGGTTATTTCTTTGATTAAAGTTGATTTTTGTTGACGACAAGTTAATCTTGTTTAAAGGATTGTAGGCATTGTGAAAAAGGATGAATTTCCAGATACTTGTAACACTATGAAACTTGTCTTTCAAAAATTAGTCATAGAAAATACTTTGAATTGTTTTTATATTTTTATCTAAGACATTATTTTGAATATTTTTTATCACCATTAGTAAACAAAGTTTTCTCAATGTAAACTTTAACATTAACCTTAAATAAACCCACTTGCACTAAAAATTAACTTCAAATTCCAAACCACAGGGATTTTTATGTTAACCTACCTCAACTTGACTACCAGCTTGTCCTTAAAATTTCATCAAAATAATTTTAGGGTTAATAACTTGAAACAAATATTCTAGGCTATATGTAGGTAGGTATATATTACTTTAGGAGAGAAAAATAGATTTTTTCTTTAAGAAACAAATTTTGCAAATTTATTTGGACTAAATTTTTGCTGCCTTTAATAAAAAAGTTGATAATATGAATACAAAATAACATCGTTGTTACCCTTGTTGGAGAATTGTCAAATTCGCTAGCTAACTTTGTTTTAATACAAAATTCAATGTTTTGTATTGACCATAACTGTATGTTTTCTGAAAAAAATTTACCTAGCAAGTTTTAAAAACAGTTAAAAGGATTCCACTCCTAAAAATGAATACCAGCAAAAAATTAATAATGTCCGTTTTAATTTTGTTGTATTTTACTAGAAATTTTCTTATAAATCTTGCTATATTTGTAATCTTTGACTGTTACAGAGGTGTGTGGAATGTCCCGTACATCTCGACAGCTTATCTGATCAACTCAACGGTTCTACGCAAAGCTAAACCCCAGTATGAGTCAAGTGAGCTGGATCCTGATATGTCATTCTGTTACCGCTACAGAGAAACTGTGAGTATACCATCCAACATACGTTACATTCTTTGTACACTGAATGCATATCTGAACTTGTCAAACACTTCAAATTTGGGGTTGGGGCCAGATTGTTAAGTATGGTAGAGTTGACACCTTTAATGTCACATTTTGTTCACTGTTCGATTGTATTATTAAAGCAAATTTCATGTAGATTGCAAAGTTTCACTGTGAAATAAATTGTATTTCATTGCTGGCTGATTACCTTTGTTCACAATGAAGGTTAATTTAAAAGAATGTTATTTGGAAATAAATACATACAAAACCCTTAGATTTTGTTGTATCAAAACAAAAACTTATGTAACTGTGCTAGATTATGTTTGTAAAAATTTAATATTGTTTACATTTCTATTGAAAGTACATCTTAACTCTGGCGGGGTTTTAAGACTAATAAAAATAAGTTTTGATTGCTTTGAAATACAATTTTGTAAACTTTTATTTTAAAATCATCTATTATATTATTAAAGTGATACAATCAAATTTTATGCAAACGGTTAAGGCCATTTACTAAATAAAAATATAGGCATATGTCACATCAAAATGAAGCTTAGAATGTGTAGATTTGCCGAAAAGTATTGATATGGACGAATTTCCTAAGGGCTCTGCCCCACAGGCTGATTTACAAAGGGCTACGCCAAAGTTAAATTTAATTTAGTTAATGAAACAGCTGGTCAGTACAATGAACTGGTGTTTGTTTATTTACTCGAAAAAGATGTTTGTGATGCTGTATGTAGATTGAGGAGGGTTATGTTTGGTTTTAAAGAAAGGTTGTATACGTTTTGTAAAGTATTGCTCAAAGTTTCATTTTGTAATTTATATAGTAAGCTACATGTAAAGAGGCTTGACTAAAGTTGAAGAATTATGGTAAAACATGTCATTCGTGAAGCATCAATATGAAGAAGTTGATGCTGTTGCTACACTAAGGTATGTTGTCATATAATTTTGAATCTATTAACATAAAAAGTAGGAATTTGAAAGGAAGTAGGTTTACACTTTTAAATCAGTTTATATTTTCAAACTAAATCATAGACTTGACGTATTTTAAAACACACATCAGAATTACTTTAATAGCTCTCCAGGTCACATTTTCTTCCCGTTGCAAAGCACGGGTATAGCAGCTTGTATTTTATTATTTATGTATTCCTTACAACTTAGTTTTGAGCAACTGGTTCGGCAATTTTTGAATAATCTTTTACTAAATTTCTCATGTTTATGTTTACAGGGGGTGTTTATGTATGTGAGCAACCTGGAAGATTATGGACATCTGATAAACCCAGAGTTCTTCGACACCCGCCTCGTCCACCCAGATATGTATGAATTGCTCTTCAACAAGATGGAATGGGAGCGGCGCTACATTAGTCCCGAGTACCCAGAAAACTTCAACCCGGATAAAGCCTTAGAACAGGTAGGGCCATGCTTAATACCTTATAGGTTAAGTTAGTCATATGGCTTGTCGTGGTGGAAGTTTTCCAATTCATAGAAAGTTCTTTTTTCCTGTAAAACCTATCGTTTTCCTAGATAAATGGACCTGCAGCTTAAATCTCTCGGGGTTATGGCATTACCTACTTTAAAAATGTTTTTAAAGATTACGCCTACCTATGTAGGTAGGCCTAATTACGATGTCGACACTTTTCTCCAGGACAAAGTTTGACATTACCCACTAGAGACTGGACGATCAACTACTTATTAAATTATTACTTCACTAGCCCATACTTGGCTTACTGTAGTTTGGTCATTCATGGCAGAAGGTTTCATCTATGCACCTAATTCAAATTCACATTTTCTAAGCATGGTTTAATAAGTTTCATTTAAGGATACAATTTTTTATTTTAGTCACAAATGCTTGAAGAATGTTTTTAGTGACCAATCACAAACACAATCAGTTTAGTGATAAAACTCTGCAAATACCAAAAAAAGTAGGATATAATTTTCAACCCTACTCCACATTTAATTTTTGTAAATATTATCAGCATTACACATTCCAACTTTGGTGCCAGGTTTCAAGTTTAGGCATGTCCATAAAGGGAAAAGAAATAAACAAATATTATTTGTTTAAACAGCCCCGCAACTTGAAAAAGCCAAGTATCAAACTTTAGTTGTTAAAATGTAATTCATGATTAACTATTTAGTTGTAGACTAGTAAACATTTGTGCACATTTTGTAAAAAAAAATGTTCTTACAGCCATGCCCAGATGTTTACTGGTTCCCAGTAACAACTCCAGAATTCACACAAAACCTGATTGAAATCATGGAAAACTTTGGGCAATGGTCCAACGGTACAAACACTGTAAGTAATTTTTGCTGATACATTCTGAAACAGTTGTTATTGGCAAATCATGTAATTTGTAGCATTATTCTGAATAGGTTATGTTTGTATATTTCATCAGTTTTTCTATTTATTTTAAGACTGGTAATGTTATTGAATTGTATAAAAAATGTTGGGCAATGTTTGCATCATGATTAAAACTTAAGTTTTAAAAAATAACTGTCTTGAAAATCATATTACAACTTAAAATGTATTATAACTGTCAAAATCATTCAAAGGGCAACTAAATTTCCTTTGAAAAAATAGTTGTTTACTTATATTAACTGTTGAGACACATTTTTTACATTGCAAAAGTTAGAACTCATTTTTTTGTTTTATCTTTTCTATCTACACAGTTCTTTCGTCATGCAAAAAAATGTGTCTGGGCAGTTAAACAAATTTGTTCACATAAAACTCAAATAATTTTGTTTACTAGTTACTACCAAAGATTGAGTGTTAAAGTTTCAACTAAAACATGTTTTACTTAGTTGTTGGTTATGTTGTTTTGCTTAATATTTCATCAACAGTGCATTAGTAACAACCTGATTGTTGTCAAGGACAATCGTCTGATTGGAGGATATGAAAATGTTCCAACGAGAGACATTCACATGAACCAGGTCGGCTACGAGCAGACGTGGATGGAGTTTCTACGAGTTTACGTTCGGCCTCTGCAGGAACACGTCTTCCTGGGCTACATCCACGATGTATTTATCTCTGTTCATGCATGCTGTGTGTCTCTAATATGCACGACTAATCTCTAATATCTGTCTGTTTCCTCTCTTCTTCCTTCTTTCTCCCCTTCTCTCCTCCTCCTAGGATGACAGAATTGAAGGGGGTTACGAGAATGTTCCCACAAGGGATATCCATATGAAACAAGTTGGTTTACACGACTCTTGGCTACAGTTTTTGCGGTTGTATGTGCAACCTTTGAAAGAGCATGTGTTTTTGGATTATGACCAAGAAGTAAGTTTTATTATAGTTTGAGAGTTGGGTGATGGAGGTGGTGGATAGTAGTATAAAAAGACACCACTCTGAACCTTCGATTTATTTCATGATTTTATTGGTTCTTGGAAGCATGGTGAAATTTACCGTGGTAGTTTATTGGTGAGTCAGTTGGTAGCGCAATAGACTTTGGATTTAGGGCAGCGATATATGTTTGTTAGAAATTCACTAAGAGAGGCCAACCTGTCCAAAAGTAGTCTTGTCCAATAATTTTAAAATCAGTAATATTTTGCTGTTAATGCTCAACTAGCAACGAGTGTCACTTCGTTACTTCAACATCCATGATATGTTTGAATTAATTTACAATCTTTTATTGCTCTGAGTTGTGTTGAAAATTAAATATTTCTTAAGTGATAATCATTAGCTTATAACTACAATAAGTAAGACTTGTAATTTTCTAAGCAAACCCTGAACACACCTTTGTAATTAGTTTTTCTAACAACCAACTGTAACAATAACCCTATTTTCGTATGGATGCAAACACAATTGTATAGTGGCCATCTGTTTTGGTGTTTAAAATGGTGTAAACAAATGTAAACTTGAAAGGATGATTGACAACAGAATTCAGCACAAACTCTGACATTAAAAAAAATATATGACAAAGTGCTTTCACATGATATCATCCAAACCCGCAAAAGGGGCATCTAGAGGGAAAGATCTTTAAATAATTGATACCCAATATGCCTATAAAAAAAATATTTAGGGGTCGATTTGCTGAATACAAAAATCCAACAAATTCTTTTAATAATATAGATACTAAGGGAAACCAACGCAAACTTATTTTTGAATGTGTTGTGATTGTGCTCTGTTCCTATTCAGATAGATACTGTACCATAAGCACAGCTCGAATCTCACCATTAGCTTGCAATCACACAAGTACTATACGTTAATCAGCTCACCACCTCACCCCTGGCATAGTTTGATGATTTGCAAACCATATATCAAAAACCTTTGTAGAAGGAAAATTCAAGGTTACAGTGTAAGAGGTCCAACATGAAACTGACTGACACCACAACCTGATTTGACATAAAAAGACCAGCATTTTATATCTTTCCTATAAGTTTGGATGACAGATTGCCTTTCTTTCGTCCAAAAGTTTTGGATCACAACTAACTTTCTAGAGAAAATAGTTTCAGGCAGTTTTAAAGTACACAGAAAGTTCTCAACTCAATGAATTTCATATTCACCACTTTGAAGGGGCTGCATTTTTGTACTTTTTCTGAAGCTTTTTCTTGACCCTTGTAGGGTCAAAATTTAAAATTGTGTTGTGAACTTTTAGTTTGCTATCACGGCTTGGAACTATTTTAATTTATAAGTTAGTTGATTTTTTGTTTTTATTCTTTCTTCCTTAATAATGTAGATCTATTATTTTGTGTGACATAATCTACTATTCCATAAAATTTGGATAAAACAAAATCAAACCTGTTCTAGCCTAGAGTCCTTTACCAAAAATACCTAAATTTTATTTCCTTAATTCTGTACATGGAAATGCCTTTCATCCAATTTTATTTCCTCAACTGTAGATATAAATGCTTGTTAAAGGCTTTGCCATTGGATTTATGCAATAAACGTTATGCATTCTAATAAGCATGCTTTTCTTAACTATTGCTGTTTGTTTTTCTCAGTTTTACATATTGTTTTACTTATGTGTGTCATTTTTTTAGTTGTAATATTTTTAAATGGTCTTGATTTGGGTGATGAATTTGTATAAATAATTCAAATAAGTTGAATCAGTAAAGAGTTTTCAGCTTAAGTGAGGAGAGAAAGTTTAAGTAAATATTTCAAAAATGAAGGGAGATGTGTGTTTCTTCTATTAACTCATAAACATCAGTAGAAAGAACATTATGATCATCATTGATTCATTTTGCTTCATTCATTTTTATTTGAATTTTCAATTACTTTCAAGAACATGAATCTAACAAAATAAACTTATTGAAGACTATTTAACATATTTTATGTTTTGTTTTGTAGCCGCCTCGGTCCCTGATGAACTTTGTCGTCCGCTACAGACCGGATGAACAGCCTTCACTGCGTCCTCACCATGACTCCTCCACCTACACGATCAATTTGGCTCTTAACAGACCTAAGATTGACTATGAGGTTAGTCCAACCAGTCACATTGCATAAATATATAAAACCTACAAAGCACAACTTAAAAATTACTAACCAAAATAATTATCCATGTACTTTTCAACATTTATTTGTTCAAGATAAATGGAAGTTAAGGTTTTTAAAAGATTTTGGTTTAGTAGCTATGTCATAAAGCTAAGCTAAGCTATCATCATGGTTGATTGTTTTTGCTGTCTGCACTAAAGATGGTGTCAACTAGTATGCTGGAAGGGATGAGGTAAAGTCTTTCAACTACTAGACGCTAGTTGTATTAAATCAATTTGTGCTATGACTGTACACAGTAAAATAAAAGCAACAGTGGTCAAGTGAGAGCTCTTGTGGGAATGCCCATCCCACCCACCATTGTGACACTACTTATACCCAAGCGTAGCTTAGCTGTATCTTATAAACATATTTAGGTTGCTAACTGTAAATCTCTAGGGAGATGCCTCTGGCGATTTAGTGAGCATTTTTAAGTTTGAAAAACAGATAAGTATAAAAATAAGGTGAAGTATAAAATTAATACATAACTTCAATGACAAACGTCAATGACAATGTACTAAATATGTGAATGTTTGACAGGGAGGTGGCTGCAGGTTCATCAGATACAACTGCAGTGTGACTGACACCAGGGTCGGTTGGTTGCTGATGCACCCCGGACGTCTGACACATTTCCACGAAGGTCTTCCAGTCACTAAGGGGACGAGGTACATCATGATCTCTTTTGTTGACCCTTAGACGTTGACAATCTCTACCATCGTCGTTAGTTTTCCATTTTACTACTAGAATTATCATTTTACCATACTCATTTATTACTCTCTAGGTTTAGTTAGTTTTATGTTGTGACTAAAATTGTTTATCGCCGTCATTGAGATTAACCAAAGAAAATGTAATGTTAAACGTGACAGTGGAACTTAAACTAGAAATAGGTAAGAAAATCACCCAAATTTTCATTATTTGATTATTTCAGCCAAAACGATAACCATTTTAAATCTGTACTGTCTTGCCAAATACCATAAAGCAGTACCTTCGTAGGTCCCCAGAGAAGCTTAGTATATCAGTGTCAGTTAAGTTCTACTTTTACTTTTTTATTTACGTGAATCAATCTCATTCAACTTTAGTTTTTGCATTTTATGTTTTACAAGAACACATTTTTATCATATTGCATTTATTAGATGTTAATGTTTAATTTTTTTGAATCTATGTTTGTGTTGATAAATCTTATTAAAGTTTAATAGATATGATATATCTATACGCACAATTTTAGATTTGATGTGTTATGACATATGAACAAGTTTACAATATAATTTATTCATCTCTTTTAATTTTATTTGGAAGATCTTTGTTTTTTTTTTTATTTTTACATCTAACGTCAAATTCCTCTACTCTTATAATTTAGTGATTTTTTATTGCCTTTGAGAATTAATGAACAATAGATATATGTGTAGTTTCCTAACAAAATGCTATTGTATACTATAGCTTTACTAAATTTAGTTTAAGACTGAACTTTATATCTTTGTATGTGTCATATTGTTGGTATAAATTTGAACATTGTTGACAATAAAACTCTTGAAATGAGTCAGATCAGTGTTCTATTCATCCCTTAATTCCATTTCCTATTTATTTGGTTGATTTGGCGAATTGCAATTTACTACTATTTTCACGTTCGAGGGGAAGCCAAAGACGGGAATAATGGAGCAAGTCCCGGAGAATAACTTTCGGTACGAGTAATGAACGATACTTTTCATCACGACGCAAAAATACACAAACACAGAATAACACACCTTAGTGAGTTGTACTTATATTACGACTATTTTATTTCTTAATTAATTTGTTTAAACATCAAAATAAAGTTATATCTGTTATGCTTAATATCATCGCAATTATTTCGTGTTTGGGCTCAATGTTCTTGTTATTTGATGCAGGTTACAAAAATGACGTTATTTAATACACATTATGGTGATATACAAACATTTTACCAACTATGCATTGAGCCCAGTGGGTGACTCATTGTCAAACCCCAGAGCAGCCGAGTGAGGGCTACTTTAGGGGCTGGGACACTACCCGACCGTCCTAATCCTTCAGCCGCCACGGATCTTTGCGGAAGGTATAAGTATTTATTTATAATTTGTAAGGTAAGGAGTAATTTACTCAAAGGAGACATCATCATTTATTTATATAAGTAATTAAAGTGTATACATTTTTCAACCTATAATTTAGTCTGAATAAAAGAAATCATCATCACTTCTGTTTTTGTTTACAAGCTGTGTCATTCTTATGCTGATATCCCACAGTTGTTTGGCTTTCTTTTCATTTTTTGTGGATTTTGGAGGTACTGCAACTTTACAGTCTCTGTAACAAACATCCAAAAAACACACTCAACAAACTGTTTAAATCACACAAATGTGTTTTTTTTTTATCTTTTGAATGTGATAAACATTTTGGAAAAGTTTTGTAAAGCAATCTAGTCAGCTCGATGCATCGGTCTTTTTGTCCAAATCAACAAATTTCTTATAAAAAAAATACCTGATAACAATTTACGAATATGAAGGAAAATAAGTAAAATTATATGATATAGACATATGGATGTTTACTGATGTAAAAAAAATAAATTATATTACAATTGAGTAGCTTCTACGAGTGTAGGATTAATTGAACACCTATAGCCTGATTTTTTTGTTGATCTAATAATTTACAACAAACCATTAGTAAGGAAAGCCAAGTCCAGTCTCAAAAATGCTAGCAACTTTTCTTTATTGGATGTATTACAAAAAACTCACGTATAGTACAGTCCAGTTTGTCGCCCCTCTGATTCGCCCAATGCACACTGTATGGTCGTTGCCGCTCCGTAGACTGGGGAATGTAGGACCAACCACTGAATCTTCCTGTACAGCCACAGGACTCCAGGAAAGATCATTGAGGCAAATTCATCACTCATCTTTGTTCTCACTCCTCCTGGATTGGCATTGTACACTGTCACTCCAGTCACTAAAACCAAGTAAAATTAAGATGTTAAGACAGTATTTTGTATGGAAATACTAACCCTTTGAACTCCTCGGGTTAGGTAACTATGCATATTTTTATCATGTTTTCCCATAACATTACGCATAATTCAAAATCATTTCAAATTTAATTTATGGTGGATATTCGTACTGTGAGGATGAAAAAAGAAGCAAAGTGCAGTTATTTGGTGTGCATACATACATCCATCAAGTTTCATCAAAGCTGACCACCGTCCCAACAAACTCTGATTCAGACTGTTGAGCTCATCAAGAGTTGCACAATAGACCTAGACAGGATATGAACCCTAAATCTAAGGTGCTGTCACTTGGCTTACAACACCAATCAACCAAAAGCAAAGTGGTTTTAATCTAGACTCCCAATATTGACTTTTGGATGCTGATGAAGTAGAAATCCGATCTACTGTATATGGGCCAGCTTTCGCCAATTTTGTGTTTAGAAAGTACAAAGTTATGTTTTTGTTATGAAAAAAAACATTTTGTGAGATATAGGCTAATACTACATGGAACTATTAAATACATCTCAAATATACACATTATCCGTCTAAAATTAACTAATATAAAAACAATATAGTAATCCAAATTTACTCATAGGTAATATCCAACTTATTTCTTACCTCCGCAAGCTTTTAATCTTCTGACCAATTCGTTTGAGAATAAAATGTTCGCTAGTTTAGTTTGGCTGTACACTGTGTGGTAAAAATATGATTCCTCACAGTTAATGTTGTCCAAGTCTATGTCGTTAGCTAAAAGAGTAAAATAAATAATTAACTCAAAAACCTTGTAAAGTGTTACGTCTAGTCGTATTGCAATACAGGAGAAAGGTATACAATAAAAGGTAACGAAGATTACAATGAATAACTGGATTTGGAACCAGAAGCTAGACCCAATATCCTTCATCATTAGGATTATAGACCTAAAGGTTTTATGATAAAGAGGTGTTGTATTTGAAGAGAATAAAGTTACTACGATACAAACTCATTTGTTTGAATTATTTTTTCACTATTTAAAAAGATGTATAAATATACAGTGTGTATATATTTTGAAATAGGACCGGGTAACCAATGTTACTATGACATGCAGTAGTTTGGTGAATTGCAATAAACACGGTAACTTTGGTTGAAGAACATCATCACAGCATGATACATATAATCTCACATTATTCATGTTTTTGTTAGCATTCCTGCGATATTAGGCTCCAGAGGCATAAAGGGTATGCCAGAGTCATTTTGTCATGCCTTTATGTAGGACTTTAGGCTACATAAATAGTACAATAAAAATTTGTTTTGACCCAACAAAAATTATCACAAGCAAGGAATTTGGTACAAATGTTGGGTGTACCTTCCTTTTGAACATACTAAATGTCCCCTAAAATTGAAGCTGTGCTACGGCCGCCATATTGGAAAATGGTGGCATATTTATGTATTTTTGGGTATAGTGACTTTATTATTAGAAATACAGGAAAAAGCTAAGTATACAAATTCGTTGCTTGTACTAATGTTTTTTAGGTTTATGGAATTTTTCGCTTATTTTTACTGTACTAAAAAAGGAACAAATGGGTGCTTCTTTTCAGGGGCCCCGCACAGCTGTATTTCAGGTAAGAGAGGCCCACTATTGAACTTAGCTTTGGGCCTTGCAATCTCCATAGCGCCACCACTAACTGTTTTACACATTCCTTTCGGCTTGACCTAGAGAGTTGTAGAATGATCACTTAGCTACAACCATTGGTTATTGCAGTGATTTAAAAACTTGACTTTGTGAACAGAAAATACCTACTCTACCACTAGACTAGCTCGCTCCCAATGAGCCATACAAACAAGTTGTTCTAAATTACATAGCTAAGGTAGCTGAGTGGTTATAGTGCTCACCTAGTAATTAAAAGGTCACCAGTTCAATCCCGAGAAAAGTGTGTAGCTTTTGATTGTTGAAAACTGAGCTGTTCTTGATCATCAGGCTTTTAATAAATGGTCCTGCGTTTAATAAAGGATGCGTTCACAAAGAAAGCTGTATCATGCTTTATAAATTAACATATTTTCAGTGCTTGTTCTAAACGCATGGGAATCTTGTTGTGTGTGCACAACAAAAGCTTACATTTCAAGCTAGTTTTTTGTTAAGACAATGTCTTCATCAAGTGATTTTATTTTTACATCAGAGTTATTTTTGCTTGAAAATGTCAAATAAAAAAGTTCGGTTGAGACGGACTTGAGAGATCGGTTCATCGACATCCATCATGCTAGCACAGTTGTTTGTCATTGACTGGTTCAGTCAACAAGAGCCAGAAAACAAGTACAAAACGTTCTTGCGTGCTTGCCAGAACTTGTAGCAAGCGCTTGCTAAACGGGGCAAGCTTTGTCTGTGAACGCACATGCTTGATACAATGTAGACTTTTCTCACGCTGGTTGGAACTTGCATGCACTTGTAACCAGCTTTCTTTGTGAACACACCCTAATCAAGCAGCTGGACTTAATCAGTAGCAAAGCTACACAAGGCATCTCACTCCATTCTACAGTCATCTTTCACTTATATTCGGGTTTAAATACGCACCTACGTGGTGTCCCCATCTCAATTGAAAATTCACTGACCTATACAATGGGGCTCTGATGTGACATTGATGATCCTGGAAGGAGCTGACCTGATGATCCGAGGCAGGAGCAGTAAAGTGAGTAGGAAGTGGCCGAGATGATTGACAGCAAACTGCATCTCGTAGCCATCCTCACTCAACTCACGGTTATACAACACCACACCTGCAATACTCTACATAATATTGCATTTGATAAGAAATTAGGTTAAATGATATGGTAATGATTGGAATGGTCTCATTATTAAATAATACTGAAGAAATGGTCATGTAACGGCCTGGCCGTTCATACTCCTAATAATTAAATTCTGACCAACGCTCAGGAGATATAAATAAGGAGATTAAAAAAGGAATTGGCAGGGCAGGAGTAACTGCTAAATTTCCATAAACGGCCTGGTTTGATGTTAACATCGATTATCACACCTTTATCGATAGTATCAATAATTAATCAATATGATCATCGTCCAAAGCAGCGGTCAGAAACTCAGGAAATATTTATTTAAATATTTGAAGGTAATTGAGTCTCCATATGAATATCCCGGCATCGCCAAACTATCCCCAACCTCGTTTAAATTATAATAATATTCTAGTAGTAAAAGTTGTGAAGCTGGAATATGCTCATTGCCGGTGTTGACTCGGGCTTTCTGCTAACGGAGCTAGCCTCCGTTAGAGAGTGTGTTTGGCGGGCAAAGAGGTCGAGCCTTGCGCAGGGTGCCGTTCTGTAACCACGCTGAACGCTGATTGGCCTGCGAGGCGCCTCAGCACTGCCGGCAACGAAAGAACAAGGCAGTCTGCGTTGTATTTATGTATTTTAAAAAGCACATTTCGTACCTGCATTGTTTACCAAAATGTGTATTTCTGGCTGTTGATCAAGCAATGTCTTGGCACATTTCCTGACAGACTCTAATGATGATAAGTCCAACTCTATGATTGAAAGTTGACCAACATTCTTCAGATTGGCACAATATCTCTTGAATCTTTGTTCTGTTTCTTGCAGTTTTCTCAGAGATCTGCTAGCTAAAACTACACTTCCTCCTGAAATGTTTAAACTCATTGTTTAAAACGTGACAAAGATAAAAAAACAATGTATTTGTTATGACTTACAGTTCCATTTTAGTTTAAATATGATGAACTGTTGAAGAGTTTACCTGTACCAAACTATACTGCAGAAAAATCCTCGGTCCAGAAACACATTAATTTTTTTCCCAGACACCAAATATTACTGGGTCAAAGTAACATATATTTCTCACACTGACCAAAGGAGGAGGTTCGAACCATAAAAGTTTATTTATTGTTGTTCTAATCAAGTTTTTGTACAACCTGATCATGATGTTTTAAACCATCAAAACAAACAAGCGACGTCCATTCTTGAAGTGCAATAAATAATCATAAGGCAGAAACAGGTATTGAAACCTTTTTGCTATTTAAATATACACACAAAAAATATTTACATAATAAAAAAAAGAATACCACTCTCTTAAAGTCTCCACTGAAAGTGCCTAATAATGAGGTAGGTACATAAAATAGATAAAGTTGAAATCTTTACATCACAGACTGTGTTACTCAGTCGCTAATCTCAAAGACAAAACCCAGTGCATAAATAACACCCCCGCAAACCCCGCAGTGCGGGGGGGGGGGGGGGCCGAGGTCTGACTGTCACCGTTCACCACAATTGCGGAAAAAGGTGACGTTGTTTCCATGACCATGGGAGATGTTGATGATAGGTATCTTCAAGAGCGAAGAAGATATTATATTCTATGTCCATGATTTTGGCACTATTAAGGAAAAAGTTGATGTTTTTTTTCCTTGATCGCAGGAGACGATGATGATCTCTTGAGAGTCTACAATACCGGAGAAAATATCCAAGTTTTTGCACTATTGTGGAATAATGTAATGTTTCCGTGACCGCAGGAGACGATGATGATGTACAAGATATTACCACGATGACAAGCTTCCATGACCACGTGAGACGATGATCACGTCTACATGAACGCAGGATATATTCAAGATTTGGCTGCGATCACGGAAAACGATGACGATGTATCCATGATTATAAACAAATGTCTGCGAGAGTTTTTGGATTTTGCTGCAATCGCGGCTTTTTGCTGAGATAAATGAATGAAACGTAAGGTGTGATGTACCTACGCCACTGCGAAAATCACATAATTTGGTTTCTTATACAAAATTACCATACTGTATGTTCCCAGCCAAAACTGCTTTTGACTCTAAAGGAGGGACCTAATAATATTAAAATCGTAAATTCTACCTGTTTTACTTTACCTCTTTTGTACAGCTCTAGGGCAGTGTGATACCCAACTCCGGATGAACTTCCAGTCACTATGGCAGTTTTACCATCCATCCTCTTATCGCTTTTCCCAGTATTACCAAATAGCCAAGACATTTCTCTAGAACTAATAGAAAATAAGATAGAACATAGTTCAAATCCAAACAAACTCAAAATGCCCTTTCAGAGAGTATTGTTTACCCAATTATTGTTTATTTAATCTCAAATACTTTTTGGAATTAATCAAAATTACCGTGCATCAATGATATCTTCCAAAAGTATTTCTCAATTCCAATAATGTTTACCCATTGAACAAACAACTAGGAAATAAAAATTAAATACAGAACTCTCTGCACACCATCAACAACAAAATTACTGCATCAAATCAATTAGTCATACAGAATGAATTTGAATTTTTGTCTTAAAGTGAGATTTTAATAGTGGACACTAGTCGATTTTCAGGAAAATTCCAAGAATATTTAATATTTATAAGGAACAAATAATCAATATGCATACTCACAGCTTTTTCAAAACATTTGGACGTGATTCAACCGTTTTTTTTTTTTTTTTAATCTCAAATATCAGTAAAAAGGTCAAAGATTATCAAGTCCATTGGTCTTAATAACAAACTCAAGATTTTAGTTTACATGAAAGTTAAAAACAGTCAAAATACAGTAAAAGGTAGAAGGCAGCAAAAGTAAAGACAGGCACTTTGGCAACATTGAATGGTATATTTTGTAACAATAAATATACATATTAAAAATATATATCTAATTTATAACTAGTACACAACATGTATTCAACTTATCAAATTAAACATTTGTTTTAATACATAGGATATTGTTGACGTAATTCAAATTACTTAATTCTCTTTGGTCCAAGATAACTTCATGTTTTGTAAGAATTAATTATGAATTCTATGTACTTTAGGCAGTGCCAAATTACAAATGGCGATGTTTTAAAACAAACCTTTAAATCATTAACAAAGCTATAAACTAAATACAACAAGAGATTTCTATATATATTTTACAATACAAAAATTCCAAAAAAGAATTACAGAAATGTTACCTACCTGTTATGTTTAATTTGATAACAAAACAACTAAATCTCTGTTACAACTCCTTAATTTGTTCCACTTTGAACTATATTATTTTTAACAACAAAATCACAGGCTGGCTTTTTTTTCGTATACTTTTTTCAAACAAATTAGGTACTGATGATGTTTTAACACTTTTTACGAATTGTTACGAAATCTAAATTCTTTTCTAACTCAAGGTTTTCTCTTTTCAGAATCGTTGTGATTTTCTTATCTAGTCTATTTAGGCCTAACTGACCCCAGGTCTTCAGAAAATTACTAAAATAATTTGACGTAGTTTTGCAAAGATTTGTGATGTTTAATCTTGATACTAAATTCTCTTTTGCAAAAAACCCAATACCAGTACCTAGTAAACGATAAATTTGTATTGCACTTTGGCTACATATTTGATCACTGAAAAATGTGCATTAAATAAAAGTGGCACAGATATACTTGAAACGGTTCAGTGATGAAACATATTGTCGTACAGTACTAACGACTCACTGAAATAAGTTTTTTAACTCACGGACGGATTACTTATAGGAAACGCATAGTTATTTCTAAAGCTAAATGGCATCGGAATATAGTTATAACATTTCTTATTTATTTTATGCTCAACTAACAAATCGTATATAGCATCAAAAAAGAAACTTGAGCTAAATTAACAATAAAATAATTTAAAGACAATACTATAATAAGATTAAATGCAATATTTGTATACATAAATCTAAATTTATCACATTACATAGTATACATTTGTTTATAATTGCAAGGTGCAAGAAATTTAAATGAGTCATGCAGTGAACTGAATTAAGCATTTAGATTAAAAAATGGGTAGGTATAAAATTAAACATTACCCCCTCCTTCATCACTCCTTTTCCTTTTCTTCCAACACTTACACATTAATTTGTAACAACTGATTCATAAACTTTCTACAGAGGGATGAAATAAATCAATATAATTTAGTAAAAACTCAATCTTCTAGATCTGAGAATTGACTTGCAGTTAAATGACATGTCCACAAAATAAACTGAAACTATAATACAGCTGTAATATTGTTAAACTGAACAAAACTCCGACCCTTGCTGTTGTAGTAGTTATATTTGGTTTTTGATTTATCATCTCCCTAAATAGGTCTTTGACTACAAAGCAGTTAAGGATCAACAATAGCTTTGATGATCAATTATCTAAACAGTTTTACGGCTTAAAAGTGGATTTTAATTGTTGTTTTCATTTTGACTGGGAAACCATACATATAGTGTTGGATCAGTTGTACAGAAGTTTGGCTTTTTGTGAATTAATAATTATATGAGAGTTTTGTACAACTGTAGACTGCTACTGTTGTTACTAAATGTAAACAAACAGACCATTTTGATCTGTTTAGATTTTGATTCTTTCAAGATAGATAGTTGAAAAGGAACAAACTATGTTCTGGTAAAATTATTTCTACAGACTACAATTCTACTTGGTAGTTCTTTGTTGCTGCTTTGTAGTTCTACGATGATGCCTGGTCTAAGTTGCACTCAGAATCCCAGTCTTGGGGAATGACGGAAGACATAGCTTCGGTAAAGGCGCTCAGACTACATGGGGAAGGACAACCAGGCAGTTCCCACCTTTCCAAATCAGTATCTGCATAGCTCTGCGCGTAGTGCACCTGTGAACAAACGTTTACATAAGAGCTACAGTCATCTGAACAATCTGTCCCTAGTGAAGTAGCCTATTGAACTTTAATGCAAGAGAAAAAAGTTGTATTTGCCAGTTACCTTAATAGTGTTCAGGCTTTTAAACTCAGTTTAGCCTCAGATAAGTAAGGTGCAGGGGAAACATTCAATTGTACGCTTGTGTTTTCTAGCACTAGTCTAAGGGCAAAGTTCCACGCCGCCTTCTTAGCCATGTACTGCAACGCTCACGATGGAGGTAGTCTCTGTGCTCTGTGCAATAGGAATTTCCGCAAAGTGTTCGCCACTTGGGCTCTTTCCTTGTCATAAGTATATAACAAGTACAACATACTTTAGCTGAAAGCACATTGTTGTCCCATACGCTAGTTTCTTCTGTGCCTCACTTCTCTGTGTTTTACCTTAACTATTTTAGCCTTAGTTACTATATTGATTTTTAGTTTTATCTATTGCTACAGTATAACGTTTTTTCTCACAAAAATGGAAAGTCTTACTAAAAAAGTTTAAGTGGACACACAAAGTATCTACCTACCCTGTCAATTTCCACATTTTAAAAATTTGAAAAACATACAAAATAGAATTTGAAAAATATGTTTAGAAATTAGCTGGGTAGACAAAAAAAAATCTAGTGACAGCTACTATTCAAACAAATTTACAAAAATCTAATTACGTTAGTCTTTTTAATCGAGATTGTGTGTGTATCATCAAAATATCCGACCAACCAACATTTGACAATTTATAATATTAACGTATGATTATATAGATTAGGGTACATACTTCAACTAAAGGCACATTGTTGACCACTTCAAGTTCCACGATGAGTGCGGCTCCCAAGCCAGGCTTAAATGCAATGTCATTAAAGCCCAGTGCTCTCCGAACACTGACAATGGTCAGATCGTGTGCTGCGTACAGAGAGACCTTGCGCTTGCTGGTGCCGTTAAACACTGCATTCATGTTTCCTGCTACTGCACCAATCAGAGGCCCTGTAGATGATAAAATCAATGATTAAAATAAATGAGTGAGACTGTTCTGGATGAACTAGGTTCCAGATAACAAATGGTTTGTTTTTGAAGGCTAATTTGTGGTATAGGATTTTATAAACTTTTTATCACAACACACTTCTGAACTTAGAACTTTCTTAAAGTGCAAGGTCAGTAATCTTAATTTTTTTTCTGTTTACCATGGTTGCAGGTTATAATGCATTTTTCTTCTTTTTTCAAACCCCCAATTACCACACGTTTCTTTTAAGTCAAGTCAAGTTAAGTGAGTTTCAATGTTTTCTGAATTTTTCAATTTCTCTATTTGTTGATGAGCTATAAGATAGGCCCTTTTCCATAAGCTTCAAAGTCTTCCATGAAGACAGAAGCAGTGAATTAGAAGTAGGGGGGCAAAACCACCCGGGAAACATGAGTTTTTATCGGGAATAAGCATTATTTTAATTTATCAATACATGATAAAAGTGGAGGTGCCACCATATGACCTCCTCTGCCCCTAATTGCCACCGACGCATGATCATAGATGAATGATTTTGTATTTAATTTGAATATTCCTCATCCATACATTTCAAACACCTAAGTACATATCAAATCTAAAGCAGTTTATTTTATACAGTAGAATAAGAACCACTCATATACAACCTTGTCATAACGGAATACTCCCGATATCTGACCTACTATCCGACCGTCTACTTTTTTCCTGTCTGGAGTGATAGCGCGATCGCATTTGGTTAACCAAAAGTCCGTTCACGAGTGTTACCGTAATCGCGGCAGAGGATCACCACTATCACCGAGACTAAGATGCACGGGTGTTGCCGTAATCATGGGTGACAGTTACCGGTTTCACCAAGACTCCAAGACCTACTCTCAGGTGTTGCCATGGTTGCAGGAGATGATTATTGGTGTCACCAAGACTACCACAGGTGTTGCCGGAGAGGAGAGGATTAATTGCCTTGTGTAATTACACTGTGTTGTAAGGTTCTTCTCTATACAAATTTGTTGTTCATGCGCGTATCTGATTATAAGATCAAACTCTTTACGCACCTCCTTTGATTCTCTTCATGAGAGGAGTGTGAGTGAAGCTTGCCAGTACAAGAGCAGCTATGTCTTTCATCTTATCCGGATACACCGACTCAGTCCATTCAGGTAGCTGCTTACCAGTCTCCTTCTAAAACCCAAACACATTCTGATGAGGTTGTGTGGGAAGTTATAACAATTAGAATATCGTTAGGATCAAAATCGTAAACAACAAGTATGAACCTGGTGACCAAGTTTCCATTTATTCTATTTACACTTTTAATATCTCACGTAGGGACACATAGCAAACAGCTATACCAAAACATATCTGTCTGAAGATGACTAGAATCTCGGCTTTATTTGGTGCAAAGTTTCCAAAAGCCATCACCAATTAATTCTAATGATAATCGGCCTCAAAAGCATACGCATGAAGATAATACAAAGTAGGTTAAAAATAGTTCCTAAACCTATAGAAAATATGTCCAAATAACAATCATAGGCTATAGCACTACTGTATATCATGCTTCTGTACTTTAATAAGAAGCATTTTCCTTCATATCCGTAACTAAAACCTGTTGATCCATGATAACTGTACTCCGTCTCAGGATAAGTTGAGGAAGGCTATCTGATTGGATGGGTTCAACCAGTGCTCAATTTGTGACAGAACAGCATTCTGGTAGGCTACCTCTCTTTTGGAAAGATAGAAATATTGGCATTAATAGGTACAAGATCATTACATGTATAGTACAGTACATGTATAGGTACTAATCACATTAAATAGGTTACTGTTCTGGCACCTCATTTTTTACAAATCGAGCACGGGTTAGAACAGAACAATGGCTAGGTAGACCCTGTGAATAAATCCTATTGGTCAGACCTCACTGAGTTAACCACTTAAAACTGTAAATGCGATGAATAATGCTTAATAAGCTTAGTTTGATTATGAAATATTTACCTCAATTTCAAGTATGTTAAATAGTGACTCAACATCCAGCAAAGAACTAATGTTCTGGCCAGCTTTGTCCGTCAGATACTTGTACAGTTCGGAATTCTGTTTGTCGTACTTTGCAGACAGTTCACTGTCGCTTTTGTGTTTTTCCCTATCATACAAGGGACATTTTGCCTTCACTGTGATTAACTGGAAAAAGAGAAACATAATTAACAAACTTCCATTTGATACCAAACTTAATGGCTGTTTAGGATAGTTTATCCTGGGAAGCAAGCTGATTTAGTGGTAGATCTGAGGGCATCGGAGCCCGAGGTCCCGGGTTCAAATCCCCCAATCACCAATGGATTTTAACTAGGTGATAATGCGACCTACTAGGACTAGCATAATGCAATGTGTAAAACGTTTCCAAGCCAGAACCTAACGTAAAAATTATAGTTGTTTTCTTATGTAAAGAAGTGATTTTGACTCTCACAATAATTTTGAGGTTAAAGCGACAATAGTACTAAGAGACACAAAAATTGTCTCAGTTGTCAATTGCTATTGAACTCATGGACATGAGTGAAGTAATGTGTTTGTAAATAGCTAATTGTGCACAATGCGTGAAGGGAGTTCGGAGGTGGATTTAACATTTGCACAATGTTTTTCATGGTAAAGGCTGATGTTCACCTGTCTCATTTGCCAAAGCTAGGGAATGTCACGTGCAGATGGTGCGAATAAACAAAAGGGATTATTGAAATAATAGGAGACGTCTATAAAACTATCAAGTACTATGGTCAGCCCTGAAGTCTGAGACACACCGATCTGAAGGCAAAGTTTCTTTAAATTTAATCACTTTTTATGACAGAAACCGATGAACACCCACCTCGAGCCCCGTCGAGCAAATATGTTCTTGGGCTTTCATAAACTCCCAACAGTAATCACAGGACAACAGTAACCACCAGGGATTGTCATTCTTCCTACAGAACCAGAAAACACGATTCAGACTTGCTGGGAGTGTCATTTTTCTTGTACAACTTTTGATGGGAAGACCAGTCTAATCATCCCATAGGGATGGGAGCCACCTATAATAGTAGTAAATAAAGTAAGGAAAAGAGTTGGTCCCCGATTTGAACTAGCTTGCCTGGTTGTGACAGGGGCTCGATAGAGACCCTAATCTACGGACAAACCTTGTAAATTTAAATATTCAACCGAAGTCTATCACTCACTTTGTCCATACTGAGAGGGCTGGAGTGGATGGGTATCGGCTGCCACAACAGCTGATCGTTCCACACCTGGTCTGCAGAGGGAGGGAACAATGCTGCCAACAACACAGCTGCACTCTGGTGACACCTGTCGTGATCACTGCTGTCCACTCGCACAGTCTGTGGAGAGTAGCGAGGCAGAGCATTGCCGTAGCGTCTACGTAGCCACTCCCCCACCTGGTACATCTGGCGCTTGCCACGCTGGTAAACAAAATACACCTAGTTTTAATGCAAACACATAGAAAAGTGTACTGAATATTTTTGTTTTGAGAATGAAATTAATGGTTTTTACAGTAATATCTCAACACTTTTTATACTGATGATAGGTTAAATGTTGGGTGGAGATAACAAATTTGGAAACTTTTTTTTTACAGGGTCTCAATTATTTAATTTTTTTTTAGGATGGGAATTTTGATAGGCCTACTAAGGTGATAGCGGAAGCCCGCAGCAATTGCTTGGTTGGAAATTCACAATGACGCTGCGACCACTGTACATAATGTGTAAGAAGTTAGACTGTGAGTGAAGTACATTATCACTATTTTGCTGCGATGGCAGGAGATTTTGGAACCAATAAGGGATCCAAGGTATCGAAATTCAATATTTTTTTTAATACCAGAGACAAAAGTGTTTTAGAATTGAGAATCAACTATTCCCACTTTTAAGGTTTGCCACGGAATTCTCAGATCAATCCAGGTATTTACAAAGTTTTAAGGTTTTTAGGCCTACTGCTTTAACGTTTTATAGTTGAGTGGGTACCCTGCTTAAAATACCAATACAGTTTACTCTACTTCGTTCAAATCTTTCAGTTCAAACATCTGTTGGTTTTTTACTGTATTAAGCTAAAGTTGTTGGTTAGATTTAGTACTTAAGTTGAAATTATATATTACTTAACACGTTAACAGTTAGTTTTTGTACATTTGATTTGAACTAATTAGGTAAGAAGTAAAGGTGTAGTATGATAGCTTTGCAGCAGTAGTATGAGCTATATGCATTTAAAGCTATAAACTTTATTAAACAGGTTTCATATTAGTTTCTTAATAAAATTGTTTCATCAAATTAGATTACAGGAAATGGGTTCAAATTAGACTAAAATACTTACATTGGTCAGCTGGCCCCATCCTTCTGGCCAAAATAATGACTCCTTGTACGGATCGTTTGCGTAAGAGGATGTCGGATTCTTTTCTCCATGGCGAAATATCTGTAACATGATCTTTGTCATAAATAGGCAGTAGTAAAATATGCCGTTAATGTTGAAGAACCTTTTCCCTTGATATGATGTACTAAAATATGTTTTTAAAAGTTTCTTCCAATTTACATGTTTATTATTGTAGCTCTCTGTTTAAGCAAACAAATATAATTTCAAAATTTGCTGTTGTTTCTAGATCCTTTATTTTTTTAACCAAAACACAGCGAAACCTTTGTCCTTTGAACTATTTACAGTGTAACTGACTGTAACATCAGCCCAAACCTTTCAACCCTTGAAGCCCTATTATATTTATTAAGTTAATAATAACATATCTTTGCACATGGATCCTGCAGAAACAACCCAACCTTAAGCTTATAGATAAGAGTTTAAACTTGATGTGTAATGTAATAGTAGTTTATGCAAAGATCACATAAAGACTGTTTGCGCGAGTTGCGTACACTACTTTACTTGGTTTTTAATTAATAACTATCAACACCCATACATAGCTTCTATGAGAGGTTATGTTTTTGTTTATAACCTATCATTACTGATAGTGATGCAACGACTCATTGTATAATCGATTAAATTGGTTTTAACAGCTGATAAATTGACGTTCGAAGCATTACAATTTTACTTATTTTCTCTCAATCCTTGAACTTTATTGGCCCTTTACTAGTGCTGTAAAGTAAAAAAAAACAAAAAAAAAACAATGCGGTAAAGTAAGTATACAGTGCAGTAAAGTGAATCTTTTTAATTCCAAGAACTGAATTGAAAAGCTAGTTAAAAAAAAACGGTCGTAGGTGAAGATATTTTCAATCTGAACTGCCAATTCATTACAAATAAGACATAGGGTAATGAAAAAAGAGATTTTTTTTATGAGCGTAAAGAATCATTTGAGATTTTCACGTGAATTAATAATCACAATGAACTGATTAAACAAACCATTGCTAAAGTGGTTATTTTGTCTTCCTTAAAGAAAATTATTTTATATCACATTCATCTGGCCGTTGTAATAATTTTTTTGTTTCCTCCCATTATAATGTTGGTTACAATTTATGTTAAGTATAGAGCCTAAACTCTAGGGCATTATTTTATAGTTTTTTGTAAATTTTTAGCAATGCTTCTTTATTTTCTCATGGCTTCACATGGTTGATGTGATTTTTTGCCAATTTCCATTATCTTGCAAATTATGAAAATTCCGATAGGTAGTTTCTCTTTGTAATTCCACCTAAAAATTTTTACATATAGCCTAGGCCTATCTAAAAACAAGATATGAAAATTATATGAAAACAATATCAGGAAGGATTAGACTAAGCTGGAGATTAGAAGCTTTAAATCATAGGCTACTGTATTACGTGACTTTTATAACACAATAATTACTTTGTTATCAAATGCTAGATCCTTGAGCTTTTAACTACCTACTTAAACAACATAAGTTAGATAAGAATAGAGTTTTGTATAACTAAAATACACATTTACATCATTGTGGGTTTTAAAAGAAAGCACTCATCACTATTACATGAACGACTAAAATATCAACATATGGAACTTGACATGATGGTTCCTATCCACCTAAAATTGTTATGCCAATGTACCTATTATTAAAAATTTCACATTTTAGCAGGTTTTTTTAGTTTAATGCCAGCATTAGGCCTATAGTTTCATTATTTATTTAATATCAAAAACCAAGTGTTAAAAAACTGAAAAAGTAAATAACTTACGGTAATGCTTATTAAGTTCTTTGAATCATTCTATATAGGCCTAAGCTCTCTAAGTACCTAATGATAATAACGTATCGAATCAAATCTGGCCAAAGTAGCCACATTACAAGAATATCTGCGTTATTTCTAATATTTTCCTGTTAAAGATTTCCAACATGTTAACTGTTATATTAACATGTGTATCAAATTAATAAAGTTTAGTCTAACTTAGTGACTGTTCCTAGTCTAATGGTTAAAGTCTCAGGCCTCAGTATCAGAGGCACGGGTTTGATCCCCGGCATATCCAAAAATAATTAAGGGGTTTGGGCCGCTTTTGCTTAAGTTAAATGCTTTAGAGATGCCTAAATTGTTAAGTAATATATGTGGTGTGTATGTGCAAAAAAAGTCGAAAAGGTGAGCAAAAATATTATTAAGGATGACAATTTTAAATTAAATAATACGATAGGTACTTACAATGCTGACATGACTAAGTGTCGTCCTACCCTCAGGATCTTTTCCAAATGCAGCGTAGGCAAACAGAAACGCAATGATGATCCCACCCAGAACCACCACAGTTGTAAATGTGTTTATCCGAGATGGTTTTGCATGCTGCAAGAGGAAAGACCTAGTTGACCTCGAACTATTCATTTCATACGATGTATCTAAAACCATAACAAGCTAAGTTAAGTTATTTGTATAACTTACTCGGTGAATTTAAGAGGTAGGCAAAACATTGTTGTCATTGTTTGAACACCCATCAAGTTCAATTATCAATTATTATCATTTAAGTTATATGATTATGAGATGGGGACACGAACCGAACTAACTTATGTGCGCATTTTAACCCAAATATGAGTGAAGATGTTTGTAAGCCGATAGTCGATGTTTTTTCCATCGATAGTTGTCTTCCGATATATTTTTAGTAGCCTATTGATATTTAACTCCGATATATAGTTAATATCAATATTTTACTCAGATATTTATTTTTCACTTTCACTTGTCACTCGGTACATCGGAAGTAATTATTTCTCTACTGTGGTTTAAAACTGCGGCTACAAGGTGGCATGGCAACACTACACCAAAAAGTGTCAGTTTGTTCAAAAATCAGCTAAGTTAATCAAAATCAAGCTAGATGTTAAGTTAGCTGTTATTCTTCTCTTGGTTTAACCCAAACCCATCAATATATAAACAAAATGTTTATAATATCGATGGGCAGTTAAACGGTCGGAGGGTTAACTTGAACCTAGAACGGAGAAATTGTTTTGGGGAAAGATCTTTGTTAAAATACTTAGAGTCTAAGTTTACACCACTATCATCAGAGTTAAAGTTAAACTAGATTTGGGGAAAGCGGCTCTTTTATCTTGGTTTTCTTAAGTTACAGCTATAGCAACCAAAAGGTAGTTTTTAACTCAGGATTTTTTTTATTAATCTTACCACGGGTACAGTTTCTTAACTGGGCTACCGGTATGCTAATATCGATTGAAATTACTTATCGAATTGAAAATATTGATTAATAATCGATATTTTTAAATATATCTATTATAAAAATAAACTATCATAAAATAACCTAACCAACCAAACTTGCTGATGGTGAAATAATCCCATGAAGGTTTACTAATCGAATCATAGTTTCAATCGATATTAGCATAGCCCAGTTAAGAAACTGTACCCCTTCCCCTTACCACAGCGCAGAGCTAACTTAAGTAACTTAGTAACTTATTATTCTGTAGTCTTACCTCAATTTAAGTTAGGCCTAAGTTAATTCCACATTTAAAGTTAGCTGTTGTTGTTACGCATCACACATCCGTTCACTTATCTGTCAGAGAGCGATATCTGCTGTTGCTTGCTTACATAATAATGATGAATAGTTAACTCATTTTGACTTGAGTGTCAAAACTCATAAAATGAATGGGCTAATATATAGTCAATGCTAATAGTAATAGTTACTTATCCAAACCGAAGTTCCAAACAATTCAAACATAACAAGTTAACAACATTAACAATAACAACGTTAAACATAACCTAAGTCTATTGTTTACAAATCATTTTGACATTTAACTTGGACTCTTGGACTCAACGTTTGCAAAAAAAGGTGGTTAGTATCATCGTATCACTGAGCTATAATGGTTAGTATGCAGTTCTGGGTTATTATTAGAATAAGTAAGGCAATTGAACCATTGATTATAGAACAATAGGAAATGTAAAACTATTGTGAGGAAACTAACCGAGGAAAACTAATTGATTTTGAAACGTGAACATTAATATCTGAGATAAATTACCACGAAACTCAGTTCAGCCTTATCTTTGGTTGGCTAGTAATAGAGAGATATATTCATTCTGTCCCCATGTTGACGTTGACACCAGTTTTTCAATCAAAATGGGCATAATTAAATTGATCCACCAAAAGATCAAACCACTGATGTAAATTACTGATATCTGACGAATATACTGACATTTAACTAATTCAAATATTTCAAAGTACAACCTTTGACTATTAATCCATGAATAGTCAATGGTACAAAGTAGTGTAACTGGCACTGATATAAATAAAATACTCGTTATTTATGTCAAATCATACGCCAGCTTTTTAACCAAGTTAAACTAATAGGACGACTTATTAGCACGCCATATCATATTTTATTTCACATCAACGATTTGAGAAACAAAAACTCTGAGGTATGAAATTGAGTTGACTATAGTGCGCACATATCATGGCTCTTTGAGAGGTTGATTAAACTAATACCGTACTACATATATAATTATAAAATGGTTATATTTAAATGACAGGGATTAGGAATAACTCTATCACATAATGGGATTTCTTCTTCAATATACCAAAGTAAATTAATGGAGGACTATCAAAGTATTTTTCAGTATCCTCTAATTGTACCTACCTACACTAAAAACTTGATGGAAATAAAAATAGTATAAGTTCTAAAAGGTGGTTTTAAAACTTAAATTTGCAATTTTATTTGGAAATGGAAAGTGACAGTCTCTGTAGACGTATGCACAACAAAATAATCAGTTTCATAAAAATAATGCTTAACTCCTTCTCATTATAAAATATTACCATATATAATATTTTTTTTATTTTTCACGCTTGCAACTATTACTGTGCAATCAGTAGGCCTAATAGCTGATTCCCTATATGGGAAACTAGCAGAGTACCCGTCCTTATTCGTATGAGGTTGGCGTACCGGTACCTATAACATGCTTATTGCAGTTATACCCTTGCTTTGTGTTTGCAATGGGAGAGGAAATATGCAAAATAGCTTATTTCCTATATGGGAAATTCGCTAAAAATAATAGTGCTACACCCTGTTGGTAAAAATTATAACTATTTAACTTAATGCTATTGAAAAATTGAATTCCAGAAACCGACTTGTGTTGTTGAAACAGCTGACAAAATTCTCTAATTCCTTAAATATGAATAGGTACCTACAAAACATTAGAAACGCTAAAGCCACTGGTGCAAGAGCCCGAAAGGATTTTTGAGATAAGAAATATGTCCATGTGTTAATCGGGAATGTGAGCTATCATCATACGAATTTCAACCCAATCCGACCAGAGTAGTTAATGCAAACAAACAAACACACAAACTTTCACACTTATAACATTAGTATGAGCATAGATAAAATATACTACCCTTGTGTTGGTTAGTCTATGGTATGATATAGTATCACTAGAATCTGTCAGAGACCAGCTATAAGTTTCAATCATTCTTTTAGTACTTACCTTTCCATTGCTAGTAGTTTCATTACTTTTTTCTAAAACCAATCAGAAATCAGACTTTTTTATCATGTCCAGTCTGGTGTCCTGTATAACCTCACCTTACTTTATACTTAATACTATCTTATGAAATGGCGACCATACAAAGTAGGTATTTTAAATCAAGTCTGAATGGAGATGAGTGGCGCGATCTTGTAGTCTTGTTAGTGACTAAGGCCGACATTCCTTAGACACAGCTGTTATTAATAGCCCATACAGCTAATGGCAACTAAGGGACCTACAGTTTATAGTGGAATCCGAACCACATTTTTGCCTTGGTATATATGAATTACTTTATACTTTATATACTTAATACTTTAATTTGTCTAATTATCAGGATAGTACTGTGGATAGTCGTAGTACTCTCTCCTGCGGACGTTAATCCACACCAGGGAGTACCGCATCCACAGTGAATGCCTATAAACATCCACAATTCGTGACCTCCTAGTAGCTGGATTACAGGACGACGCCACACGTCCCAGTCATTGTAACCATTTCAACCATTCTATCACAAGAAAAAGTTTTAGTTGGATGGTTATTTCAAATCCACTGATCATTGTTTTTTAATGATACATCCCGGTTTTGTCTCCAAACGATTAGTTCCAAGGCTAGGTACAATATTTAATGTTAATTTAATTGAGCTCGGACAGAAGCATGCTATCTAAATTGATTTTAACTGACAATTTAAAAAATAGTGCCTTGAAACAATCTACAATCAAATAGCGTTTTTATTCAGTTTTTGTTATCTTACTAATATTATAAATGTGAAAGTTTGTGTGTTTGTTTGAAGTTCAATCACGCATAAACCACTTCACGGATTGGGCTGAAATTTGGCATGATGATAGCTTACATTCCCGATTAACATATAGGCATATTCTTATCTCAAAAATCCTTTCTGGCTCCGCCCCAGTGGCTCTGTAGTTCCCCATGTTAACCTTATGAGTATTCATATTTAAAGGGAACTAGTGTACCTGTTGCTCGAATTCGAGCAATTGCGAAGCATTACAGGCAACTCAAAGATTATGGAAATACTCACGATCTACACAACAGTTGGAAATAATCAAAATCTTTTGTAATCTTATCTTTTTTCAAAAAGATGATCTTGTTTTTTTAGTGTTTTCTACAAATTTCCCCCTCTCATATCCGCATTAGGTTGTCTATGATAACGATTATAAATGAAAAAAAAAACATTATTTCTATTTCTTCTACTTGGTTGTTTTCTATGACTTTTTCTATGTTTCAGTTGTTTGCAAATCGGTTATTTCAATGATTGCTCAATAAATGTAGAACAGTGTTGATTCAGTTTTATTTTTAGCCCAAATCAAACTGTGCAGGATTTCTCGCTCTTTTCCATTGTAATAATTACACCAACCCAAGTTTCGTCTACAGATGCAATATGCCAACACCACCTACGTACAATCTCCAAGAAGTGGTAAAAAAGGCAGAAACCAACCCATACAATAGATATAAGTTAACTCCAAAATAAATAATTTTAAGAGTTACTGTGATATCTTCCACTGATTTGGTAATAGAACATTATATTGCAAAACATGACACGATGCAGAAGAAAATCCATTTTAAACCCCATTGCAAATACTGTACTTCATTTTGACAAATTCAATAAATCACAATTCAAATTAACAGCTGTTTCGTTAAAAAGTAGTGTAGAATTATGCATATTGGTCGTAATGTAAACAAATCTGAAGAGACAACTTTAAAGGCTTCTGGGGCAGAGCCCTAAGGAAATTTACTTCGTTCCTTTTTGATGGCTCATCTACAGACCAAGAGCTTTCTTTAGAGACCCCTACCAAGTTTCTACGCCCAGCCGTTCTCTCAAATTAGCTGTGACAAAAACCCCGTTTTCCTCCATAAGAATAACATGGGATGGGAATTTAAGGGCCACTGGGGCAGAGCCCCAAGGGAATTCACCATGTTTCTCTTTTGATGGCTCATCTACAGACCAAGACCTTTCTTTAGACACCTCTACCGAGTTTCTAAGCCCAGCCGTTCTCTCAAATTAGCTGTCACAAAGAAAAACAGTTTCAAATTAATATATAGATTAAAGAATTTAGTCAGCTGTTTCAAATAAAAAAGTTGGTTCTATGATACAAAAGCATAAAAAGTTATAATATTTACCAACAGGGTGCAGCACTATAATTTTTTTTTGCATTTATGTAAACAGCTAATTTGAACTGAGCAGCATAAAAAAACTGTGATACTCAATGAGAACTGTCAAAATAGGATTGTTTACAGTTATGTTTATGTTTTTAATGTCACAAATAGTTTGTGATATTTTGCAAATTTTTAATAATTTATATTTTTTAATTTTTTAGGTGAAGTGGTAGAATATTATGGCTATGGTATATGTGTAATAACATAGTATACCGTTAATTTAATAAAGCAAATTTTATAAAACTGTGTCCTCCTCCATTGCAAACGCAAACCTTGAGTATAACTGCAATAAGCATTTAAAACTTATATGTCAACCCCGTACGAAGGACAGGTACTCTGCTAGTCATATTATATACTTACCTACGTTATCAGATTGATCAAGGAAAAATAGATTTTAACCAATTTGAAATTGGTCCTATAGAATTACACTATAGCCAATCCTTTCATTTCCGTGTAACATGTCTATAACCATTTAGGCGATGAAAAGAGCCTTGGGACACGTAGTTTGCTGCCCCACTGAATGAACAATAGGAAATAAGACTCAGACAATTGAAAAAGAAATTTGTATAATTTAAATAAAAGAGATATCACTCACATATACATATCATAAAGAAAGGTTCAGGGACTTAAGTCCTACTGTGGCACTTGGATCTCTTTGCTTAAAATTACAAAATTTACAATTTTACAAGATGATTAACAAAAACAATTGTTATAAGTACTTATAGTTTCAGTTAGCAGAGAAAGTTTAGGAAATGTTACAAAAAAATCCTAGCCAGTTTCTATTTCAAAGTTTTAATTATTTTCATTTACTATCTAGTTTGAAAATCTTACAAAAAAAACTCATACTTTTAATACTTTACTTTGAAATGGTGACCCTACGAAAGTAGGTATTTTAAGCCATGAATGGAGATGAATGTAGTGGCGCGATCTTGTTGTTAGTGACTAAGGTTGACATGTTCCTTAGACATAAAGCTTTGAATACGAATACGATTCAATGAGAACAATGAAATCTAGAGGAGTCAATAAGAAACAAATACAAAATCAATAAAAAAATACGAAGGTTAAGTCACACTATTTAAGAACAGAAAAAATTAGAAATAACATACATTTAAAATCATTTTATTTAGTTAATTGTTAATGGTATTTGATAGTTTGAATACATTTTGATATTAAATTGAGCTAGGAAATTCTGGAATAATCTTAAGAGCCAACAATAAAATGACACAGTTCTCACTTTTCTCTAATAATTAGAATATAAACAATTCACAACTCACAAGAAAATGTGTCTTTCAAGTTCATGAATACACGATAGATACAATCTGTAACAGAATGTATATTTAATTTAAGATGAATGCCAGGGATATAAAACTGTGTAGCTTTTCAAAATTTTGAATAAGTGGTGACTGGTAAACTTGTCTTGTTTCTTGGGAGAGTTGTTTAGGCGGTTTCATTTAAATAACTAAAGCACTACCTTGTGTCAGGTATTATCGGCTCTTGAAGTTTATTCCCATAGTTTTGTCTGCAAACTGAAACTATTCATCCCCCCCACCACCAGGCCTAGTCATACATTACAAGCACATTTCTCTGTTCAAACAAGATCAATCAATTTAGTGGCAAAGTTATATATCAAATTTTTAATTAACTTAAAACTATCATTGGGTTTTAGAAGCCAACTCAGTGCTCGATTTGTTGGGGAACGCAGCGTAACAGAGTTCCGGTTCAGTGGAGTCCGGTTCCGGTCTCTGTCGGAAATATTAAAATACTGGCAAAGATAGGTACAAATCACATTAAATGGGTTACAGTTCTGGCACCTCATTTTTTACAAATCGAGCGCTGAGCCAACTCATTAGTCAGTAGCCAATTGTATTTCTTACAATAGACTCCCCCAAATTTAAACTCCGTGAGAACAACACTAGTCCAGAGAGCAAGGTTTCCGGAGAACCACCGCGAACTAAAAAGGTGTGAACTATCACAAGTTACACGATCCTCCTATAATATATAACCCTGCATCTGGCAGCTACAAATCATAGCCAAGCATGTTTCTAGAAAACCTTTTTTCTCAACTCGTGTGCATCGCAGGTAAAATCTACACATACTTTTAGAAAGATATTTTCATGTCGAATTTTCAAAATCCCTTTAAAAATTAAAATAAGATAAAAAATAAGCACAACAAATTAATTTAAAATTTAAAAATAACATTAACCTGGGCCTTATGGGTTGCCATGCTAGTGACGAAATATAAACAGAAAATCAAAACAAATGGAAGAAATTCCAATCACATGTTTTATTTACAGCTTGGGGTGAAAATAGAGAAGTCTGTACGTTACATATTTTTGGTTGAGTTTTCGACCACTGGACGACCTCTAGTATGAATGAATGCATTATAAACTAAACATATTTGCAAAATTATTAAATAGTATTAGATGTATCTTAATCTTATGTTGCTATGGAAAAGATTTGGTTATGTTATGTGTGAATTTGTGAGTCATAAGTAGTTGCCAGTCAGAACTAAATGAATTCAAACATGAGGGAGTCTATTTTATGCTGAAAAGTAGCTTGAAAACTTTGGAAAGCCCATCCCAGATATTATAAATATAGTAAAATAGAAGGTAATAACAGAAATCACAAGTTAAACCTAACAAAAATGAGCATAACACATGAACAGTTTTAAAATACAAAAAGTTATATTGAACTAAATAAAACAAGCTTTATCACTTTTCATTGTCTTAACAAAATAGGCTTACCACTGTTAACACATTCTCGGACAGCTTACAATTGCAAAACAGTATTTACAAAATAGCTAACTTTACAACTGTAATGGACTCGTTTTGCACAATCTCAGTATACTTCAATTATTATATACATATCAAACCATAAAAATATCTGCAGGTATAAATATAAAAACAATTTACAAGATTATTTACAAATCTATAAAA